TCACCAGCGCCTGACGCTGTATCCCGGCACCGGCCTCGAACAATACCACTATGCGAAAGAGCGGATAGCGCGACATACACAGGGCGGGGAAGATGAGCTGGTTATTGCTGTGCCTGAAAAAGTCAAGATTCGGGAAGTGAAGCCCTCGGAGGCTGGTATGACCGATGACGCTCCGGGCACCTTTTATGCGCCACTGAAGCTGGAGATTGAATACGAGCTGGACGATTTCCGGGACGCGCTACAATTTGTCGGGCTGGAGGATGGAGATGCACGGTACCCGCATGCCTACACGCGCAACTCGTCCTTTCCTGGTTCAGCATCGTGTCTGTTTCCGTGCATAGACGACGGCGAAACGCGCTGTCTATTCGATGTTTCGATTCGTTACCCACGAACGCTGGGGGATGCGCTTAGCAAAACTCCAGATGCCAATACGAATGCGCAAGCACAAAGAGAGGGTGCTGAAAAGGCTGACAGTGTTATGCTGGACGCGGATGACGACCAGGTGGACTTGTCCGAGGAAGAGAAGGTCATGGAGATGCAAGTCATCTGTTCTGGTACGCTGACAGACGATGTGAGTGTTCATGTACAGTACCAGATGTGTTTTTTTGCTAACATACAAAGATTCTCGATCCCGCCGACTCTACTCGAAAGACAGCGAGCTTCTCCTGCGATACACTTGTCCTTCCGCAACATATCGGCTTCGTAATCGGCCCCTTCGAACATGTCGATCTCTCAGAGTACCGCGATACACTTGACGACGAGCGCTTGGGAGAGAATGCCATCAAAGTCCACGCCTTCTGTATGCCAGGCAAGGAAAACGAGGTCCGGAACAGCGCCATGATGCTAGCTCGAGCGCTCGACACCTTCACCGAGCGCTTCCAGAGTTATGCATTCGGTAACTCTTACAAGCTCGCATTTGTCGATGATTTGGAGTGGGATACTGCGCATACAGCCTCGTTCTCCATCTGCAGCTCTCGTTTGCTGTTTCCGGAGACGGTATGGGAACCGCTGGAACATACAACTAGGGTGCTGGTGCATGCGGTAGCCAGCCAATGGATAGGCGTCGATGTTATTGCACACAATCCTGAAGATCATTGGATCATCGTTGGTGGTTCATGGTTCATGGCTGAGCTCTATCTCCGAGAGTTGTTCGGTCGCAACGATTGGCGTTTCCGGCAAAAGCTAATGGTTGACAAGGTCATCCAGATGGACCGGAAGCGCCCTTCGCTACAGCAACTTGGATACATCTTGCAGCTGGATCCGGGCGAGGTTGAGTTTATGGAGCTGAAATCGCTCATGGTACTCTCCATCCTCCACAACCGCCTGGTAAAACAAAGTGGAAAGAACGGTGTTGACAGGTGTTTGTACCGGATGCTGTTTAATGCTCGCCAGGGCAAGTATCCCAATGGTGCGATTGCTTCGGACGACTTCTTCGACATTTGCGAGAAGGTTGGGCATCAAAAGCTGGAGTCCTTTTTCCAGCAATGGATCGTGGGATCTGGATGTCCGACTTTCCACTGCGTACCTTCATTTAACAAGAAGAAGCAAGTGGTACAGCTTACTATCAAGCAGCTCCAGGCTGATTCATCGATAACAAATATCGAAAACGGTCTCGCCGCGGATGACTTTATGCGCGAAGCAAAGGAGAAGTCTCGGGACTTGCGCTCCGCGACAGGATATCCTACCTTTGTTGGCCCAATGACCATTCGAATTCACGAAGCTGATGGCACACCCTATGAACATATTGTCGATATCAATTCGAACAACGTCAAAGTGGAGATCCCGTACAACACAAAATACAAGCGTCTGAAGAGGAATCGACTGAACAAAGAGCGTATGGCTGCAGCAGCAGGCCTTGATGCCTCAGGTGAAACACAAGAAGACGTCACCTTTTACATGCTCGGAGATCTCTTTACGTCTCCTCAAGAACACAATGAGTGGCGACTAGATGATTGGCCACCGGAAGATGAGGCCAAACAAGAAGGTGAAGCTTACGAGTGGATTCGTATTGATGCGGACTTTGAGTGGATATGTCGGACTAACATCGAGGACATGCCATCATACATGTACGTCTCGCAGCTACAACAAGATAAGGATGTTGTTGCACAAGCAGAGTCGATACAGTTCCTCGCCAATAAGGAAGGTCACAAACTAATCTCGACTTTCTTGGTGAAGACCCTGATGGACAATCGATACTTCCACGGCATACGAACCATGGCTGCTATGGTCTTGGCTCAGAGTGCGTTGAAGCGGACCGAGTGGGTTGGTCTCTTCCATCTGAAGAAAGCTTTCCGCGAGCTTTTTTGCTTGCCCAACTCGCCCATGACTCGATCGAACGACTTCTCTGATCGTAGCATGTACCTGATTCAATGCGCTATACCTAGAGCCATTGCTAAGATCAAGGGCGAAGATGGAAGATCCCCATTAGAGGCAAAGCGCTTTCTGCTCGACCTGGTGCGGTACAACGACAACCGTGGAAACGATTACAGCGACGATCACTACATCTCTACGTTGATGCGGTGTCTTGCGGAGACGCTCACCAAGACCACCGCAAGTTCCGAGCTCAGCCATGAGGAATGGGCTCAAGAGCAGGACTTCACAAGCAAAGCCATCGGAGAGCTTACCCGACATCAGAGGCTTGATGAGTGGATCCCTACCTATCAAAATGTCTACACAACTACGGCTCTCGATTGTGCACTGAAGTTGGTCATGAGCCGCGTTACCCCGTTCAAACCGACCGAATTTCTCCAGTATGCCCAGCTAGGCAACGCAGACAACGTACGTCTGAAAGCTTGGGAATGTTTAATTCGGCTAGGCATGTTTCGGAAAGATACAATGTTAAGGTTTCTTATGCATGAGATCCGGTCCGATCCCTCGCCATACTTCAGGAAACAACTGCTACGGATCTTCGGCATCGCTATCGGACAGGTCGCTACTGGAGACGTTTGGGCACCAGAGAAGACTGTTGAAACCTCAGCAGATACGCTCATGATCGAAAACGAAGCCAGCAATGCTGAACGTGCATCGGCTCTCGCTCGACAGAACCTTAACGGGGCTCTGAGAGGATTGAAGAGCGACTTGCAGGGTAATATCACCCTTCGAATGGTACTGGAGGAAGCCTTGAAGTCAAGGGCACTGTCAACAAGCGACATGTCTGAGCTTTTGGACATTTGCGACATGATCTTTGATAACCAGAAGGTCAACAAGCTGCCTATCAAATTGGCTCTTCCACGCTATTGGAAGGTGGAACATGTTGGAAAGGGACTGTTGCGCTTTAAACACAATAGCAGGTTCCGAGCCGTAAAGATGCCACCTCGGGAACAGGTGGAGGAAGGGATAAGGAAGATGCGAGAGGCAAAAGCGGGCTTTTCGGCTGTTCCAATACCTCCGCCTCAGCCCCAGCCTCAACCTCTACCTCAACCCCTACCTGTACTCCAGCCCGTGCGAGATGCAACTGCTCCAGCTTCGAAACCGCCAGGATTGCCGAAGCTGTCGCTCAAGATTGGTGGCAAGAAAAAATCTGCCACATCTCCACCGTCTACGGCTGGAACTCCGCAGGCCCATTCGAGGAGTCAATCTGTCGTGTTTTCGCCCACCGTCTATAATTCGCCATCTCCAGCACCTATGTCAAAGCCAGCATCTCCAGCGCCAGCAGCAAATGAAACAATAGCAGTAGCACCGCGGCCGCCGCCTGCTGCTGCTGCCCCGGCTCAGATAGATTCGCGTTCGTCGACCCCAGAGGTGCCACTGATGCAACCTTCAAAGAAGATAGCAACTCCAGCAGCAACCCCCAAGCCAGCGACTCCAGCACCTGCTCCCGTTCAAGCTCCGAAACCTCCAACTCCGGCACCCTCCGCTCCTGCCCCAGTTATCAAGACTCCGGTTCCACCGCCCAAGGTCCCTACTCCAGCTCCTGCGCCTGCCCAAGCGAAGCCTACTCCGAAGCCTACTCCGAAACCTACTCCGAAGCCAACACCGGCGGTCATCAAGGTACCGAAGCCTATGTCGACGACTCCCACCATTCAATCTCCGGTCCCTCTGCCAGCTCCTAAGCTTAAGATCAGGACCAAAACCGCATCTGGCTCTACCGTACCATCAAGACCTTCCAGCGCCGCTCCTTCGCCGCGCCCGAGTGCAGCTCCGTCACCTCGACCCAGCAACGTTCCTCCTCCATCACGTCCTGCTGTTCCCACTACATCATCATCTATAGCAAGGCCAGTGATCAAGCAGAAGAGAAGCAAAATCGTCAAGCTACGCCTTCCTTGTAAGCTTCTCTCAGGCTTCACCCCGGGAGAGAGCAAGAAACGCAAACTGATCTCTGGAAACGGGGATGATGATAGACCGTCTAAGCGTCAGAGTCTGGAAACAAGTAGTATGTTGAATGGTAAAGGACCTGGTAAGAGCGGACTCGTTACCGTGGAAAAAGGTAGTAGTGGTAGTGAAAAGCCGAGGTTACTTCTTAAGATGAAGGTGGGAAAGAGCAAGCTACCTGTTGAGCGGAAGCTGTGAAAGGGAAGCTGACCAAGTGCGGTTTCAGGAAGGAGAGTAATGATGAGAACTAAGGGTAACATGCATTTTCAAGGTGTTTAACGGATGGGCATCTCTTCCTCTTCCAGCGAACGAAAAAAGGATTTGGGAAAATGGAGGATTAAGACAGCTGCATGATGCGATTAGGACTACAGCATTCAGCGATGGCGTTTTCATGTTTTTCATTCTTTTTCATAGTGGATGGGACGTTAGGTGGATATACCCCCAGTTTGCTGGAACTAACGAACCTCATCTACCTGCTGGATTCGTATGGTTAGACCGGCTAGAGTAAAAATGCATAATTCACTATTAGAACTGGCTTGTCATGGTGAAATGTAAATTGTTGATAGGTATTGATATTGAAAAGGCCGCCCCCGAAACCCGCAGCGTTGGTACGCCATAGCAAAGGGTATCTACCATTACACGCCCGGAATTTATACATGGAAATAAAAGTGTAGCTTAAGCCGAGATTATCATGCTCGCCAAAGCAGTCGCTTCATGGATCGTACACCAGATTGGAAGACGGATTCACTGATGGAGGCTGGAGCAGGTGTCTTAAGTGTAGCGATTGTAGACACCTCTTCCGTAGGTTCAGACTTGGTCGTCACTGTCGCGTCCTCGGCAGATTCGGAAGCCGTTGTTGCTGTAGTAGTCGCTACCACCACCGCACTCGTATCCATGTCTTGTACAGCATCTGGAGGAGAGCCCTCCTTGCCAGTCTCTGTTTTGAGACGCTGTGTATGTAGTGAAGTAGCTTTCTTGATCGACCTGTAAGAAGCGCGTTTCCTCTTCTTTCCTAAGGATCCGAGGGGACGACCTCTCTTCCTTGGTCCTAGGTAAGGAATTTAGTTGTTAGTCGGACGAGGATGGTTCAGCAGTCTCACCCTTTGACTCAGTATCAGCTGTTGGCGCATCTTCGACCTCAACTTCTTGATCGTCGTCTGCGTCACTGATGACTGAGTCTGCCTCACCATCCCGGGTTGACGTTTTGCCAACACCAGATGCCTTAGTAGGAGTGGTCATATCTTTGACGTCTGCATCATCGCTGGCTTGAGCGACTGGAGTCGAAGTCATAGGCTTTTCTGATGTATCTTCCCCAGCCTTCTCTGGTGATTCTTCCCCAGCATTCTCTGATGCATCTTCTCCAGCCTTCTCTGATGTATCTTCTCCAGCCTTCTCAATTATTTCGCCGCACATGAGACACGATATGTCTACATCCCACTTCCGTTTGGTCTTTCCTTCATGCTTCTCCATGATTGTGAGGCGAGTCTTGCTGCCTCCCTTGATCTTTGCCTCGAAGGTGTGTGTGGCTTTGCTCTGGCTCGATGCAAGTTCGCCCTTGCTGGGCCGACCTCGTTTCTTTGGTTTTGGTGGGGACGCCACTTGTTTTGCGCTCAGGTCTTGGAGCGCTCGCTCTTTCAGACAGCCTGCGTGAAGCCATTCTGAACAATGTGGACACTGGACAAGAAGCTCGTCCGGATTGCTGGGCTGCTTGTCGATGCAATAGGTGTTCAGTTTCTGTGACATAATTAGTGTGAGATGAACAGTTGTAACGAGAGTGCTTACGCTTAAACGATTGGTCTTCTTTGTGATATCGTAGCTTTGACGGAAGAACAGCTGGTCTGCCAGAAGTGCCATGCTGTCTGGGTCGTCGTTCCAATGTACCACCTCTGCAGAAGATTCTACTGTGACGGCTTCTATTATGTCCATGTGATTGCTGATTATCAGCTCGGCTCTGCCATGGTACGGTTGCCGGCCACCTGGTAGATCCTCCGGTCGGTATGCCCAAAATACTCTGAGGTAGACATGAGAGGCGTCTCCGGCGCGTACCTCAAGCACCTTGGCGAGCCAGTGCTGGATTGAGTTTGGTCCCTCCTCTACGTGATCCTGTTCGCTTTTTCTCACAAAGACCATCTGGCCAACTTGAAATTCTTCACCGTTTACTGAAACGCTCGTGTTAGCGTGATTAGACTTAGGATGTATCACAAGTTTGGGACTTACTAGTAAACTTGCGATAGCGGTTTGTACTCTCCCAGTATCGTGCAGGTGAGATCTTGACATGGAGGTCGCCCAGTGGAGCTCCTTGGAATGGATTTGGCTGTACGATATCTGCGTCCAAAGGCATAAGGTGACCAGGGTATTTGTGGTGCTCCCAACTATTTGTATTGCGCTTTTCTTGTGTATTTGAAGCTTTACCTGGCTTCTTTCGTGCCTTGGTGTCGACGCCTATGACTTTGAAGCCAGGAAAGTTGTCTACCGTCGACCAGTCAATCTTTCGTTTCTTCGCGGCGGGGTCTGTCGCATCGCTGGCTGGGGCAGTAGACCCAGTATGCGCAGACTTCTCATCTACGACTTTACGTTTGCGCGCCATCGTGAGCGATTGATGATGGAGGTTTGGCGTTTCCGAATCGGTGGAGTGATTGTCGTGTGTTGTGGTTGGGGGCGTTGGAGCTTTGGCGCACAGTCAGAGCGGGTACCACCAACACTCTGGCAGGAACAACAAGACTTGAGCGAAGGTACGTTGAAGGAGCGAACGGCTGCAAGCGTTGGTGAGTTCGTGTATTGGTTTCAGAATTCGATTTGTAGAATCAAAATGAGATGCGCGAACACCGCACTTGAGACGCGTTCGAAGTGGAGTAAACGACCTAACGCGTTGTCAGCTGCCGAAGCAGTGACGGTACCGCAGGCATGGGAGCGCTAGTCCCGAAGTATGACATCACGTGTGTCTTGAATGCCAGCCATTTGCATAGGCAGGATCTATCACTCCATCTTGTACGAATGAAAGTGCAAAGGCAAGACAAGGCAAGACCATACTCACCAGAACAAGGCCCGTCTTGATGAGCGCTCAGTCCTAGAGAGGCATTGCGACGGCTTCACACCGTTACCGCCGATATGTAGTCGCCGGAGTAAAACAAAGCATCGACCGCCGGTACACGACTATAGAGTTCAGCCTTGATTTGTGTGACGCCACCATTGACGATCACATTCGTCACTCAATCGGTGATTTGTATCGAAACCAACGTCGCTGTCTGAAACGGGCATAGTGATGTAGCATACAAGGCAACGGCTACTCGGCTAGGATTGCATGCAAATAAGATCTGTATGCCCGGTCAGCGCATTTGACAGTTCCGGACAGCATGGGAAGCACAACTGGGTACCCCAGATTCCGTGGGCCGCGTTCCGGCCGCTATTGCCAACAACTCATTCGAGGCCAAGATGCACAGCCACACCATCATCGTTACCCAGAAGAGGAGAAGCCTATGCCGAGTGGCCGAAGACAGGCGGGCGGCCGCCAATTTAGTCTAGTACGGGGCCTCAGAATAGGCTGGGAATACGACCAAGAGCCAATGAGTAAGCGTGCAGTGGCCATTGAGGTGTTTTGAAGGATTCTCGCGTTGGGAACACGCGGCCATGCGCCGCTGTTGATGGGGAGCGTTTTCCAGTCTGCGCAGACACGGGCAGTTGGATAGTCAAGTACAAATCTGTCACCCGGTAGATGGATCATCCAGAACTCGGCGATCTCCAAGAACCCTTTCCAAGGTTCGCGTCATAGGCATGTCTAATCCCTGCCGCGCGCCCAGAAATCCCTCCACAAGTCTAACTCCACCACGGACCTCAGATATACGTACTACGCCTACCGCTCTTTCGCTCCTTGTAGTTCCCTAATTTTCCCTCTTCCTCACTTTGCACTCGCCCGTGATTCTGTGCTCTCGTCGCTCGTTTCCGAAGAACGCTCTAGTCCCTGCATCGTAACATTCAGCGAGCCGGTGTACCCGTGGCTTGCGCGCCTGGCTCAGTACCGACAACGCGCCCGTAGAGCACCTGCATTGTGTACCGCAGCGAGGAGAGACCTTCCACTTATACTTAATACCACTACTCGTCGCTGCCATGGGTCGTCCAAAGAGAGGTAAATAATGCGCCTGCTACATAATGGCTGCCCTCCCTACTGTATCAGCAGAGCTGGTCTTTGGAAGAACATTCACTAATGTTGCGCCCTGTTCGCCCCTTCACAGTTCTGTCGTTCATGTCACAATGGGGTGGTTCCAACCAGAATACCTTGCAGAAGAACCCTCCGTCCGCTGGACCCTCGCCGGGCCCCGCGTCCCCCGCTCCGCCTTCACCCTCTACCAAGCAACCGGTAACTTCAGCCAACTTTGCGCAATCCGCCACGGCTCTGGACACGTATAACAACGAGCGACCCCCCTCCCGGGCAACTCAACGCGATCGTAGCGATTCCCGAGCCTCAGTGCGCCCCATGTCCATGATTCAAACATATCAACCGCCAGTTATGGAAGTAAGCCAGGATACACTGCCCGAGTTGCAGCGCATCTTCATGTTCCTGAACAGCCACTCGAACAAGCTGTACCAAGAGGGGTATTTCCTCAAGTTCCACGACACCGACACTCGTACGTCAGATCTGTAGGCAATGCTTGTTTGTGATACTGACGGCAATGCAGGTGGCCGTCCCGCGCCAGATCGAAGGTGGCAGGAGTACTTCGTCCAGCTCGTCGGCACCATTCTTTCACTATGGGATGCTAGTGCGCTGGACCAGGCCGGTGGTGAGACTGAAGTCTTGCCGACCTTCATCAACCTGACAGATGCTGCGATCCACATGGTACGTTCATCTATAACTTCCATACGGCCTCCCTAACCCCACCAGATCCCTTCCATGACCCTGAAAGATGGAAAGAAGCTCGACAACATCCTCAGCGTTTCGACAGCGGCCAGCAACAAGTTCCTCTTTCACTTCGATTCCTACCACGCGCTTACGCAATGGACCGCCGGCATCCGCCTCGCCATGTACGAACATACAACTCTCTCGGAAGCATACACGGGCGCATTGATTGCTGGCAAGGGCAAGACGCTCAACAACATCCGCATGATTCTGGATCGGCAGTGCGCAAAGTACGAGGACTGGGTGCGCGTTCGATTCGGCGCAGGTACCCCATGGCGCCGCTGCTGGTGTGTTGTGTCTCCACCAGACGAGAAGGAATACATCAAACTGCAGAAGCTACAAAAGAAGGGCAGCGCTTACGAGCGGCCGCCAGTACTCAAGGGCGACATCAAGTTCTACGAGACCAAGAAGGTTACCAAGAAAACAAAGGCCATTGCCACTGTCAAGGATGCATACTCATGTTACGCCATCTACCCACAGTCGAAGCCGCTAATCGATCAGTCCACGCTGGTCAAGATTGAGGGCAAGATTACCATACACTCCACGCCAGAAAGCACGACAGAAGGGTTCGTCTTTGTCATGCCAGAGTCGCGTCCGGCTATTTCAGGTTTTGAGATTATGCTCCAGTACCTCTTCCCTGTGTTTGATACATTTTCACTGTACGGACGCCCAAAGAAGTTGATTGCGGATGTGTTAGATACTCGCGGTTTGATGTTCGCCATGCCTTCTGACAGACGGTACGGTTACTTGGAGATGTGGGATGTCGTGGGCTTGATCAATACCGAAGGCAGTGACAAATGGTCAGAGCGCGAGTGGAGGAAACAATTGAAGGACTTGACTTCAACACGTATGATGTCCGCAAACCAGGACGCTGAATCGATCTACAGCCGCGCCAGTCGCAGGAATACCGTCAGCCGAGCAGGTTTCACACCACGCGGTCTACGATTCGAAGACCAAGGTTCTGTCCGCTCTAGTCCGTCCACACGCCAGTCATCGCCCACACGTAAATTCCCCGATTTTGAGGTACAAAAGCCACGTCGTGTTGGAACGGCTCCCGCAGCGAACCCATTCGGCACTCCACGCCATCAGCGATCGGTATCGGAGCAAGTCAATGGGCCCAACAACCAGAACACGCCGTCGAGGTTCACGCGAGACGAAACGCCCTACGAAGACGAACGTGCGCCGACTCCTCCCCAGCACCGTGTGCTCCCCAGCTCCTCAAACGGAGCAGTCCAACCTTACGACTCGGCGTCCGACTACGATGAGAGCCCTATCAAAGAGCCACAGAATCTACCTCCACCTCCTGCAGATTTGTCCGCTCCACCGCAGGGTTATGTCGATCTTCCTCCTACTCAGGAGCACGCTGCCTATCAAAAGCCGCCCATTCGTCCCAACATGCCTATGGCGAAGCCAAATCCTGCGGTCGATTCTGCCACGCTGCAGCAAATGGCTGACGCGTCACATGGATCGTTTCCAGGTGGCATAGCTGGTGCAGGTGCAGCGGCAGCCTGGAGAAACCAGGACACTATTCAGAGTAGGCGCAGTGGCGAATACAACGGATATGGTGATCAGGGGCAGTCTATGTATCTTGGTGTAAACTCAAGGCCACCTCCATCGAACCAAAACTCTGGTAATCGCCTATCTACCATTCCTGCATCGCCCTATATCGAGCACTCTGAATTCGTCGATTCGCCATCAGGCTACCAGCCGACAGCTCCGCCAGTTCCAGAACATAGTGAGTTGCCGCCGCAGCCCCCCACCCACGAGCTCCCTTACCGCCCACACCCCGAAAGTGGCGGTATACCTCGTAAACCAGTACCAGGTCGGTCTCCCCTAGCCTCAGAAGAGGATGACACCCTCTCGACCACTAGCTCAAGACTCGATAGTTTACGAGAAGACGTAATCGACCCCGAAGCTCTCGACGCTTTCAACATCCAACCTACGCTGCACCGTCAAGCAAGCGCATCTAGTAGCCGCTACGACGATGATGCGATATCAACTTCTACACCAGACTATGCCAGCATTGCTGAAGAGGAGGAGCCTGCGCCTCCACCACGAAGGGTGCCCGAACGACGTACCGATCGCCCTAGAAGTGGCGTCTTGACGATGATCGGAGATCCCAATGTAAAGCCTCCTTCGGATGAAGATCCACATGGCTACAAATCAGTGCTGGACCCAGCACGAGCACCTGCAGCTGCAGCTGTGCCCAGTATTGATTTTGGCCCAACGTACGCTCTGGACTTTGACGGCAAGCGCCCAGGCACCAGCGGAACCATGACACAGATGTTGCACGACAACAGCGCCTCGCGATCCAAAGAGAACCTTGCGACAACTCCAAACGAACAGAATCGACTATCGTTTATCTCTGGAGGAAGCACACCAAACACGCCTATGCACATGCGTAGTGGTTCAAACTCTCCACAGATAACCGACTCACGACAGGTCGCCTGGCAACCGGCTGCAGCCTCACCACAGCAGCCAGATAGACAGAGGCTGGATCCTGAAGACTGGGTGATGCACCGTGCAACTCAGCAGCAGCCTATGATGTATGGACATGGGAGAAGCAAGTCGCATACCCCTCCTCCGTTCGGTCGCACGCATTCTGGAGACTGGAGTCAAATGCAACCTACTATTGGTCGCACACACTCTGGGGATTGGAGCCAGATGCAGGCTCCTATCGGCCGCACACATTCTGGGGACTGGAGTCAAATACGGCGTTCGCCTCAGGGTTCGCCTGGACCCGCTCGTCCACCTAGTCGCCCGTTGAGCCGTGGTGCTGACACACTGCTTGATCAACGGCCCACCACCTTGTCAGCTCGCGAGCAGGAACAGGTTGCTCGAATGACGAACACTCCTCTTCTGGACTTGTCGCAAAATCCCAAGAAACTACAGAAGCCGCCTCCAACAGGACTGACAGGCTACATCGATCACCGTGAGAAGGAGAAGGCAGCTCAAAAGGCCAATCGCCACAGCTATACTCCGGCTATGCAATCTGAGATCGATAGGCGCACATTGCAGAACCAACAGCGTCAAATGATGGAGGTTCAGCAACGTCAGCAGCAGATGATGCAACAGCAGATGCAGCAGCAGCAATTCGCAATGACTCAGGCTCAGAGCACCTATGCGCCGAGTATGATGGGAATGCCAACTGGCGGTGGTGCGCCCAGCGTTATGGGCGCTCCTAGCATGATGGGTACCCCTAGTATGATGGGCACTCCTAGTGTTATGGGCATGCCTACCGGGCCGGGAACGCCGTCTGGAATGGTCGGCATGGCGTACTCTACACCAAGCCAGATGCACCCCATGTACCAGCAACAGCAGCAGCAGTACTTTCCCCAGACACCAACCCCACAGATGAATATCCCTGGTGGCTGGGTTTCACCAGCGCAGACGCCGCAGGGCCAGTACTTCCCGCAGTCGTCGCCACAAGGCTACGGCAACATGGCTCAGCAGCAACAGCAGCAGAACCCGCCCACACAGGCCTACGGCGCAAGCTTCGACCAGGCGCAGCAGGCAGCCAAATTCGCGCAGCAACAGGCTCAGGGACAGTACCGACGTTGAACAGATGGAATATGAAATTAGGAAGTGGTCGAGATTATCTCTGGGTCGATTACAATTGGATTGAAGAGTATGAGACGAGATGCCGATGTTCACTGTACATACTTTTGTGTCTGCATCTTCTTCTCGTACATAGTATTAGATAGTGAGTAGTGGTGCATGTGGAGCTTTGGATTGGATTGGAAGGCTCGCATGTTGTAATGTGGGGACGTTAATGGAGTTTATGATGATTGAGGAAACAATTGAGTGTTTAGTTGTCTAGTGCAATGTGACTCGCGGTGCCATCAAGTTCTTTCCGTGCCAAGTCGACGGATCTGAAAAAGTCCCCGTAATCATTCTCATCATACCCGACAAGATTTGCCGTTAGACCATGGCTGCGATCGATGTGAAATCGTATCTCAGTCTCCGGAAAAGGAACTTTCAAAACTCTCTCCAATAATTGGCCAATTCGGAGAAGTTCATCTTCACGCCATTTTGCCTTCCAGCTCATCTCGGTACCGGCATGGTAGAAAACATCAAGCAAAACATCCTTTGCTGATTTACGATAGTCAACTACGATAGTTGAGCCATTCTTCGCTATTCCCACGATAGCATAGACTTTGTCTCGGATATCTTCACACTCGTGGGCACTGTATGTCTCCATCAGGGAATCGATAGCAATGTCCCTGGGCCGGCCCAACAAATCGGGACTGCCCGTATACCAGCGCGGTTCTGCCCTAATCTTAACAATGGACATGGCTGGACTGGAACGAACGGCGTTGTAAAAAGGCGTGTCCATCTCCTTGTAGTATCTGGATATGATACCTGCATAATAGTACAATTGTTCGAACTTGTACCATTCGAGAATCTCAGAGCCACAATGAATCTCTACGCGTTCCGCGTGCACAACTTCTTGGATGATCCACATACGCGACCAATATCTTCTCTTGCATAATGACAACACACTTAGTACCACTCTCGCGTTCCAGGTAGCCACGCTCTTTGTTCCACGCGCAAGAAGAGTGTTGCTGATTTTGTTATTGTTAGCGAACATGTATCGTAAAGTGCTCGGGTTACACCATTCCCAATCTATCAAGGTCCGCATGGCGAGATCGCTATCGTCACTCTCTTTGCCAAGCCAGATCAAAACCAGTTGAGCATCTTCGTATATAGAGGTCATCATCCGTACTTGATGATTGCGCTCATGAACTTCCGACTGTTGTATACAGAGTGCGTCAATCCAGAACAGTCCGTAATTGCCATGAAGCAGCTGTTGGTGTAGGAAGTCCCATAAGTTCTCGCGGACTGGAACTTTTATACCGTTAATTTCGATATTGGTGCAGGTTGTATTGGCACCCCATGTGTACGATAAAGCTGTGTAAGATGGGTAGTTCTTGAGATTGTAGGTTTGCATGTTGCATTTGATTATGTCTTCGTTGTTGTTGGGTTGGAGTTGGAGTAACCTGAACTCCCGGCTTTCTCGATCGACCGGACACAATGCGTAAGGGTTGTCCATCGGTCACTATTAGCATGCAACACGGACGGTGGACACTCTTTTCTCGATATGTTGCGTGACTGTGTGGTGTGAGAGTGTTGGGAATCGGAGAAAGGACAAAAAGACAGCTGCAAAGATGTGACACAAATGTCTGCCTTGAGCGGTGAAGCATCTGTTAGAGCGGAGGAGGCTGTGTCTTTGTGGCCATGTCGATGGGGCTGAAGTTCTCGGCTCTATGCATACCTGGGCGGTACAATCACAGCCAATGGTAAGAGGTTAGCAGCTGCTTTGGTGTATGAATCAGCTCCTCCGAGATTTGCAACCATAGGCATACTCTAATACTAGCGAACTTCCACTAGAATTGGCATGATTAGTAGAGTGTCTGGAATCACTTTGGTTGACCAAGGATGCGAGCAAGATGGAGCATGTATTCGTGAGTGGATGTGAGATGCCTCGGGAGGACGAAGTGCGGGGCATCTCAGCTACGAAGCTACCCCTCCATGCAGCTTTCACGCCGCTAACCTCATCCCACGTCCGTCTCCACTACTCGCCTTGCATGAGGCCCGTTATCGTATCCATCACTCATCATCGTCGGCCGACCTTTCTTCCATTTGGTTCCAAGCTTAACTCGTTCCGATAATGTTGCCGTGAACCAAGATGGATTCTGAGTTGGTAAAGTTTTTTACGTCGTCCATGATCTCCTTGGTTCCTGGATCCTGCATGGCCTTTCCAAGAGCTTCTTGGCTGTCAAACTCCATGACGGAGGAGATGAGGTATGGGCCATCGGCACTGAGTTCGCTGACGGCGTAAGACTTCAGGCCGTGTGGGCCCCAGTGCTTCATGGCGAGGGGCATGTGTGTCTTGAGGTAGTACTCCTTGTCAAAAGTGGAGCCCTCCTTGCGAGAGTAGAGGACGATAGCGGTTGCGCCAGGCATGATGATGTTTAGCTGGAGGGTGTTTTAAGAGCTCTGTTGGCTGTGAGTAGAGGTTGAAAGATATTTGCAAGATGTACTGACTGTTGTAGTAGATCCGATGAGTGTAGCTGAACAGTACCGACGTGGGTATTAGTGTCTTTATAGTTGTGCCGGTTTCTTAGATCGACTGAGTACCCCACTTCGATCCTTACGGCCGCTTCGGATCCTCCAGTCTTGTACACTCGCTCGTGATTACTCGTAGTTCCACTCCGATCGGTCTTAGGAAATACTCTGTTGGCTTTTGTCAGCTACGCCCATTTCCTGACTACGTACCAGCTCCAGACACTTGTCGCTCAAGGTTGGCCGGATCTTCCCGAGTGGATATAATCGCACGCATTTGGAGCAAGTATTTTTTGGCTATCTTGCTAAGCTGATCTGTTGCCAGACATTTACTTCAACGCTGTCGCGGTGCGCCAGCTGTGTCGTGATGTTGAAAGTCCGGTACAACCCCCGATATCTCCGTATGCGAGCCCTGTCTTGCATATAATCACAGCTTGGTAGGTGGCTTATTCTTGACATCTGGGCGATTACGTGTAATTAGGCTGTCCTGGATGACCACGATCCGTTGTGCCCCCGGCCTCGTATCATTTCCGGGAAAAGATATGGACGGTATCGGCACGTCGTCTCGCAGCCCAGCTGTCCTCATATCTCCCCATAATCTTCCTCCAGAAGGCGCTTTTGTTCTCGCCCATATGAAAGCCATCTTGTTCATTCCCCTGAGTCTTAACCCGATGACTGTATGCATTTCTGTTACGATCCGGAACTGAGGTGGATCTCGCGGTGCCCATTGCTGGCTGTTTTTCACTGCGATACTTGTGCGCTGGGAGACAACCGCTTCCTGTATAACGAGCCCGATGCCTGAATCTGAGAATCGTTCAGGCAGTATGGAGTTAGAGACGCGACCTTCCTCTTCGTGTGCGCAGTCTGTCAGTTTGAATCGAAGCGCGGGATCTAATCCTACAAATGCGTCCGACAATCTTCCACCGTCTATGACACACGAGCGACCCGATTCGAAGAAGAGCTGTAACGTGGGAAAGAATGTGTTCAGGGTCCAGTAAACAATCTCTAAGTGTGGTCAGCTCTGACGTCCTTGTACGCTGCGCATACTCTACACGGACTCTCGTTCACCAACTGACTGGCCACAATCGTGTTTCCAATCTCGTCTGCGTGCGCCGATCTGGTTGTTGGTGGTAGAAAAGTACTTCGGTCCACGGTACGTATTGTCGTCGCATCTGATCCCCGATCGGTATCATCTTGCACCAGATCTTCGTTGAGCTGTTCCCTGTTTCTCCAGAGCGGAGGAAGGCTGCGGCGTCGCGTCTCTGAATATAAGTCGTGCGTCGGACATTTGTAGTAATCCATGCGATGAAAGCAGCTACTGTGCGTCCGCAGGCCTTTGCAATGGTCACCGGATCTTGGGTGCTTGTATAGTGGCCTTGGATTGCTATGACAAATATGGAATATGCATTTGTGATTGCAGTAAGAATGACAGAAAACTGAATGGTCCACGAGCCGAGGCGTAGAAGCGCGACAGACTGCGTTTGCGTGCGCCTCGAATATGACTTCACTACCATTGGAAGAACGAACCCGAATTGACCCACACTATGGAGGGGATCCACCCCGGCTTTCCACTAAACACGTGTTCTACTTCCATGCAACTGACAGCCTGGATTACGAAAGGCAAGTCTGTTGGTTCTTCGAGATGATATCAGCAACGTTCCGGAATGTACTGCATTTCATTGCACTGTCAAGGGATCACTATCTCTTCAAGGTCTTGCACAGAACTCACTTTCCCAGGTCGTAGAAGTGTTTTCATATGTCATAACTCAAGTCCAGAAAGCCTTGTATGAGGACTGCCATGTGATTGCCTTTTTGGGCGGACGTGAGTGTGCGGCCGCAGATGTACGCTGAGTGAGCAGAATACGATTCACTTCCAACATTCTGTCTCAGGTGATGCTTAGATGAAGTAGTGTCTATGTACTCACGTTCTCTCACCTTTGTCTAAGAAGGTGCAAGAGATCTCAGTCCGCACCTGCATCACTTCACTAGCGGCTCTTAGCAGGTGCTCTTGCCCTGGCTATTTGTTTACTCCCACACACACACACTCACTCTCAAATTGAATCAACTCAGTTCATTTTCTCCCGAAACCGGTAAGAAAAACAGAGCAATGATAGCCACTACGTAAGTCTCATCGTCTGCACATCGCGCACTTCAGCAGTCGTCAACTAACCTTACACCAGAGGAGCTGGAAGCAAGCGCGCAGCTGGCGAGGCTATAGATGCCGTTAAACCTACCTGGGAATCAAAAAAGCCTTTCAAGAAGATTGCAATGGCTGCGGATAGTAAAGAGCCCACCATAGAAGACCAGCAGTGCTTCCGCTTCCTCGATCTTTCTCCAGGTATGGCTTTTCTACTCTTACAATGTGTTTTAGATACTGACGCCACGTAGAGCTACGAAATAGAGTATACGAATATGCTAAAGAAGATGACACTAGACGGTTCGCTCTGCATCCGATACACCTCCACCCAGATTCTCACCGCAAGTCGTATTCCGAGCGTACCTGGCAATATTTCGCTGTGACCCAGGTCTGCAATCAAGTTCGCGCAGAGTATCGTCCTATCTGGGTCCAGGATCTTCGTGTCAGATTCGAATTGACTTTCGAGGTGATTCTTTTCGCTGATACATTTCTGCACCATGGGAGTGGAAACGAGCATACGCCCAAACTAGTGCAGTTTTCTTGGAACCATGGCAGCGACAACATAACATCTTTTGATCTGATGCCTTTACTGCGCCTACGTGCGCGGCATCCACCACCACAGGTTACATTCGTTCCATACCTGATTGCTGCAGGCGAATTCACCGTAGACGAAGACACTTGCAAAAGTTGCATAGCACAGATCGACAAGTACGAAGACATAAGTGACTACGAGAACTGCGAGTGTCCAGATTACGAGTGGTCCCGCCGTGAGTGGTCGGCTTTCAAGTTTAAACAGATGAAATATACCCACAGCATACGAAACTTTATCCGCAACTCAAACAAGTCTTGGCTTAAAGCAGTACAAGAGGACAAGATGACGGTAATATACAGGATCGATGAGGAAAGATGCCATGGTACCTTCAGGATTCTTTGCAGAGAACCAATCTGTCAGAGAACCACTGAATTTCAACCAGCCTTGGACTTACTGGAGCAATGGGGGAATTTCGATCTTAACGTTAAGAAGTGTACGGTATTTGTGATGGCTTATGAAGATGAACAGATCACGGAGAGGAATGGACGGAAGATCACCAACTCGGTTGTGCGCGAAGTTCGCGTTCACAAGATACCCACAAAAGACCAGGCCGCTTCGTCCATCTAAATACTTGCTGGAACAGATCACAGTCTGTTCTAGGTATGTATAATGACCACTGACTATGGTCAGGCTATTCTGGGCATGTGCGACTCCGTGTGTGGACGGAAATTTCTGTTCTAGGACGAGTAAGACGTTTGTAAAATCGATATACAGCCAGCAAGTCTCTACCATACGATATCTCCTTCTTTTGCTGTGAAGGCTGTACCGATAGTTAATGATGTCTGTGAAAATTCTGTTCGGCTCCAAAAAGTTGCGATGCGACTGATTGTACGATGTGAAAAGACAGTCTTATCCCTACTAAGCCTTACTAGGTGCTGATCATGGTCCAGTCAACTTTTGTTGCTGCTGCGTGAGTCTTTTGCTTCCTCTACATCATCGCTATCACGGCTACTTTATGCGACACCTGTACCCTCTTCCGAGGTGTCATAGAGTCACTCTTACAATCGGGATATCTTCCTGACGTCCTGTTACTTACTTGATCGCAAACCTGTCGTTCCCATCAGTATTCAGCTGCCAGAACGGTCGACCAAGACCATGACGGATATGTTCACGGCATTTTTGAATGGACTCGTTCTTTAGTCTTTGGAATCCATGTTAGTAGCCCAGCCGAACTGGGCATACTTCTTATAACTTTTCAGGGGTCACAAAATGATATCCCAGTAAGAGCTTTACATTCAACACAATCCAATGCTTCCACTAAAGTTCCAACGGCTATTTTGCATTTCTTGTGACTTTGGGGTTGACCGTCCATGTCTTTATGGATAATTTGTGCATTTCCAATGTCTGAATCTTAGCATCTTGCCGCCTTCCGATTTGCCAGCAACATGTTGCCATGTCATTAGAGAGAAGGGTACGGAGAAAACAGATCAAGATTTTAGTACCCAAAGGAATGAACCTAGCATGTGAGTCCCTATACTCAGATCTTCATAACTAACCTGGAATGAGCGAAGTTTCTGTTCATGTGCACCGGTACAAGACCTCTTGGAGAGGACCAGCACCAACATTACAATGAGACCAATAGACATACATCGATCGTCCAGCGCCTTTCAGTTCGCCATACTGCACACAATCACTGGTATCCAAACACCTCATGACAGAGCAGAACATGTTTTGTATTCTACTCCTTGGTAATATACACACGACGTTGGCCCTTCACCACCGCCAAATCCGGAAGCCCAGTCCATAAAAAAACAAACGCCACAGAACCCTATCCTTCGACTTGCTCGATAGTATTTATAAGGGTATAGAATTGTAAGCCCCGCCCATGAAGATGAAAATGCTTCCAGTAAACCCCACTAATGTGCACTGGTCCCTGTACCTGTATTCACACCACTTTCCCTCTTCCGTCTCCGTCTTTGGCGCGCATTGTCTCTCAGGAACTGGGGGTCGATGAAATCGTCAGGCAACTCAAACTCCCTTTCGACGAAATCGGGTATAGGCTGGCCAAAGGCAGATGCGTTGCGACCGTGTCTGTGTTTACCAAGGGCAGCCGCGCGAAGGTGTGGTTTAGCATAAAAGGAGCTGAATGGGGCTGCAGGTTCAGGTGGTACGAATGGGAGGAGAAAGCCATGTGGACGCGGTGGTCTTCGTGGTTTCTGTGGCTCAGGTTCTTTGGGCTGCTGTCGTGGTGGTGGAGCATCGCGGCCGTTGACTACAATGTTGTCTGAGTCTTCGGTCTCTTCGCCGTCTTCTTCCTCGTCGTCTTCCCTCGCAGCGAGAGCTGCTTCTTTTTCAGCACGTAAGCGTTTCTCCTCTTCTTTCCAGACGCGGAATTTGTCGACTAGTGCTTCTACCTCTCTGACAAAGTAGTCGCGCTTGGCCTCCCAGTCCTTTCTCTCGCCGTCTGTCACGCCTGTTATGCCCATGACCTTGAGCCAGTCTGGACCCTGCAGCCCATCGAGGAGCCTCTCTAACTGCACCTTCTCGTGCATGGCGCGCTCCTTTTCGATATTGCGCAGCTGCTTCTCCTTGCGTTCAGCGCGTCGGTGTTGTGTGAAGAAGACCGAGTCGGCGAGGGGGTCTTCACCGTCATTACGGGTGATGGCATTGGCTATAGAGGCGTAGTCGAGGACGGTGAAGGAAGTCGAGGACGGGGCTAGGGGTATTGAGGCATCTGAAGCATGGCGCGATGGGGACGAAGGTCTCGCTTTCCGTGAGCGCGTCGGGCTTAGGGAGCTTCGCGTGGGCTCAGGCGTCTTGGGCTTGATGGGCTCGTCGACAATGTATATGGGGGTATCGATATCGAGGAACTCTGCATGCGATCAGCTGGTAGGCCACGCGACATGTGACAGTGACATACCATCCTCTTTGGGCACACCTGCAATGATGTCGTCGTAGTTTGAAAAGTAGACGGCGAGATCACTCTTGAGGCGGGATCCACCGTCGTGGCTTCTCAGGCTGCGCTTGTCTGTCGACGACGCTGTCGAGGCCGGGGCGGGGACAGCTGGGGGCGCAGCAAGCTTGCCGGAGCTGCCTGGCCTAGGCGTGGACCTCGCAGAGGGGACGTCGTCGGCGTCTATGCCCAGCGGGGCGGCGACGCCATTGGTGATGCGCAGAAGCTCGCCGTGTGGTTGTGTCACGGTGATCTTGGTGGGAGGTCTCGTGTCGGTCGCGTCGTCTTCCAAGGCTGTGGCTGGCCGCTTCCTGCTGCTGGTGCGCGCAGGCGGAGGGGGTTTGTTGGGCGTGTGTGTTAATTGCTTGACGGATCTATCGTCATCAGCAAGCGCAAGCAATGGGCCGCTTTTGGAGGTCCGTCTTGTCGCGACGGGCGTGTTATTGTTGTTGCGCTGGGCTTGTTGGAGGGCGTCATCGCGCGACACGGGCAGGAAGTTGAGCCTCGTCTGCCGTTCATTCGAGCTTCGCAGCAGCGGAGGCCGAACGGCGTTGGCCATGATATTGAGCAGACTCGAGATCATTCGCGATTCGCTGGGTCATCTTTCAGCCATTCATCGTTGAGCTGCCATTGAGTGTCGCGCTGAGATGTGCCAAAACGCGAGCCGTTAGGGGTCGTCGAGTGGCAGAGCTCGCGCAGTTTGCCAAACGAGCTGCTGCACCCAAAAACTATCCAGTACGCCTCACCAAGACACATGCGTCGCATACAGACAAAGTGACGTTGAATTAAGCTTCATATCAGAGCCTTCCCTTCTCCATATCAGACTGTACATCAGAAGAATATTCAACGAATTGCAGTGCAGCGCATATGAGATACTTGGAAGAGTAGCGCCACCGACGCTGGTAGCCAATCACTACCCTATGATCCCGACAGCACCAACTCGACATTCAACATGGAAGTGATCCTGCATGGGCAAGTTTCGCGGAAAATTTATATCTACACGTGAATCTGGAATAATGAGACGTCCTCGCTACTGCTTCAGTCGTGTTCGTTACTGTCACCCGTCGTGCACACCCCGGACTACCGGCACCTCGATCCAAATCCAGCTCTTGTTTGCCACACCTGAGACACCAAGATCAACACGTACACCGACGAGCACCTCACGAGAAAAGAAAGTCCTTCAAGACTGGCGATCCAGCGAACTCCGGGTTGAGCAAAACGCAACTATTAATAGGTCAGCCGATGTACGCTAGCTTTGTTATCGATAAACAAACTTGAGAAAGTACGAAAGTCCTTGTTTCCGCTTTTCCAGAAAACGGGGCCTAAAGCGAGCTATGCCAGATGCATTAGTATATTAACTGGTGGAGTGATGCCGCACGAGGACATGTGACTTACATATTACGGACTTGGGTGGGAAGTGCGGCATGGAACCCGCGGCGTGAGGAAAGGTCTGGAGCAACTTTGTGTGCAGATCTTCAAACTCTGAGTATCTGTACACAATCAGTGGATGCTTTCGAAGGTCGTCGAAACATGTCTTACCTCTTTCGTATCTTCATGGGACCACCCTGCAACAGTTAGCATGTGCATGAAGGTTCATCGCCTGGAGATAGGCAGCATCTCGCATCTCCACCACGGGCCTTGTGCATGAAACCATCTTTTGGGAAAACAATTTCATGCAAGTGATTGGCTACGAGGATATGGCTCTGCGGACTAGCGCATCTCGATGCGGCTCGGAACTTACATCCAGTGTCTCGACCGTGCAATTGAAGACGACATAAGCCCCAAACCCAGGTGCCGCAGCCGTGCCGCTGATGACAACGTAATCATCTATCGTGACACCTTTGGCCCAAAGAACTTTGCAGTGGTCTGAGCCCTCATCCGTATGGTCCTCGAGGCCGATGGGAGTGGGGCGGCCGTTGTCAGCAGAATAGTTGCTTAGATAGGACGCGTTGCGCCGGTGGGATTGCCAGTATGGCGGGACCACGCTGCCAACGCTGTTGCGGTCACCCGCGGTAGCAGTGGCGGGTTTTGCCCCATCTCGGGCTGGCGACGACGACGGGTCTCCAGTTTCAAAGCTCGCCGGCTCCATCCATTTACAGTAGATGGCTGGGCAGGTGGCGCGTCAAACGGGAAGGCGGTTGGTATCTAGGTGCTGCCGCGTCGAGGTGAGGGGTAGATATGTACAGTGTGGTGCTGCAACAGCTGGGCCGGAGCATGCAGCCAGTCGCGTCTAGTGTCTTGTTGACGATGAAAGAAGAATTGGCGGCGTTTGCCAGCGCTCATCTCAACCGAATGATGCGCAGCGCGAGCTAGGATGCGAGACCCTGGGTGAATGACTAGCGGGTGCTAGGGCGGTGGCCAATACGAACAAGCAAACCATTGCATCCCTGCGCAGCCGAGGGATTAATGGGAAACTTCCAATACAGCGTCTCACGATTTCCGACCCAAAGCCGCCCTTTCCACGCCGTCCACGCCGACTCCACAGTCGCCAGATGGCTCGAGTCACGGCCAACCCGTCCCCAACAGGCATCGTCCCGGGCGAGAAGGTAGGCGGGGAAACGCACGCACCCTTCCGTGAGCCTTCCTATCTGATACTCCACTAGCTTATTACTTCCCGTCGACACATCCCTCCCTTTATATATCAGACGCCGCCTCTTTTTTCCAGCCTCCTCATCACTTTCGCTGAAGAGTTGCCCTTTATATTCGATTGTCCACCGTCTGTCGCTGACCGTCTATTATTTTAATACCTTCGCTGCATCTCCGCTAATACTCCTTCACCATCACCATCACCATCACCTCAACCGTCAACATGCGTTCCGTCTTCGCCCTCAGCATTGCCGCCTTCACTGGCCTGGTCGCTGCTCAGGACGCTCCCCAGATGAGCTACCCATACACCATTGACCCCAACACCGTCGACCAGTCTACCAGGGGTATGTAGAGTCATCCGTATCAACTTTGCCTCGCCTAACATGATCCAGATTACTGGTGCGACCAGAACAGAGCACAGTGCCCGCTCATCTGCCTCCAACAGCCCGGTATCGACTCCATGACCACCGAGCAGAACGACTGTGATTCCGACGCTCTGACCTACACCTGTGTCTGTGACAACGGTGTCTCTCCCAACATCACCCAGTACTCGCAGACCCTGCCATACTTCATCTGCCAACAATGGGGAAACAACTGTGTCGCCAACTGCAACGGTGACAGCACTTGCCAGAGCGCTTGCCGGTATGTTTGATCCATCCATCCAAGTAAAAACAACACTAACATGATTACCAGTGAGGACCACCCATGCGGAGCCCAAGACCCCTACCGCGGTAACACCTCTCTACCTACCACCATGTCCTCCACCGCTGCCCCAACCGGCTCCAACGGCGCTGCTACCAACACCATCCCCGTCACCGGCTTCGGCGGCGGCGGTGCTGAGGAGACTGGTTCCAGCGACAGCGGCTCATCCGACCAAGGCGGTGCTGGCTCCATCTTCATGCCCAACGCCGGTCTTGGTCTCGCCGCCGTCTTCGGCAGCGTCTTCTTCGGCTTCGCCGTCCTCTTGTAAACATGAGGAGAGTCAAACAATCTCGTCTAGCAAGTCTCTGCTTGCAATCTTCGTCCTATTTTCCATGCATAGCGTTTTCCGGCATAAAAACTCCAGTCCTTTTCGATTGTTCGATACCCACCTTGGGGCATTCCGCTCTCTTCATGACAGCCTGGCAAGGCTTTGTCCTCTTTATCTATTGCATGGGGTTTATGGCGTATTTGTAATGGTGACGAGGATCACCAGTCCGAAGGGTAAAAGTAGCATTACTTAGCATGCAGTTGTAATACATTGGACGCAGAGGTGTTGATGCTGAGGAACTATTACGTATTCTTGTCATATTATGTGACTTATGTGACTGATGTGTTTGATAGGCCCCAACGCCTTACAAACGCTAAAGATTGATCCCAACTTTTAGTTCAGTCTGATAATTTTTTCAAAGATAGAAGTGACACAGTCTAGAGATACACCTTGGGCGGCGACTCGTCCCACCACAACTTCCCCTGTAAACTCTTCCTCGGACTCCGGCGTCGTGGATGACGGTTCATCATGCTCGCTTTTCCTTGCTCTATATATACAGCTCGTAGATCTTCACTACCTTCTAGACTCCCTGTTCGACGCCTGACAGGCGATGGCACATCAGCCATTGGTGGGGAGGCTGAGATCAGCGGACTGGGAGGCGCAGGGTGTGTGATGCTGAAATCCGGTTCATCTTCTAAACCTCGGACTAAGTCGCCCTTCTTGTCAACAGTAGAAGGGCCATGGTATGGCAAGATGGGATGCGTAGGTGCAGGTGTAGAAAGCCGTTCGAGGGAAACGTGAAACATGCGTGAATCACTCGATACAGATCGCTGGAGCAAGGCTCGTTGTGGTGGACCTAGAAGGAGTGATTGCATGGCCTCTGGAGAGGGAACGAGGGTGGGCTGAAGAGAAGGTGAAGAGGGAGTCGTATCTGGGCTGTACTCGTGGGAGAGCAGGTTTGTTGTTGATGAGACGAGGGGTGGGGGGAAGGTGGGTGAGTCGTCAATAGGTTGGGCTGAGCCCACAGGAACCGCAGACAAGCCGCGACTGATGTGATATGGAGACGGTATTGAGATTGGCTCAGAATGGCCATTGGCACCTGGTTCGCTCGCATTTGTAGCAGGTGTGCTGACTACGTTTTGTGTGAGGTGATATGGAGTCCTTGACGGTTTAGCCGCTGGTGCGGGAGAGTCGAAGCTGGAGACTGAAGAAGACGTTGAGGATCGCTGCTCGTCTCGTGGACAGAAAGGCGTAAGTGGAACTAGGCGCACGCTTACTTTCCTTGCGGCAAGCTCTGACCTCCTCCTGGGTCCGTTGTAATCCTCTGGTAATCCTGGAGCTGACGACTGTAGTGGACCAATGGCGACCTGGTGGCCGCAGGCAACGGACTCCTCAGATGAAACGATTTGGCTTTCGTCCGATGGTGCATGAACCAGAACACCAGTCCGTACAGTGGAGGGTCCGGCCGTATCAGACGAAGCATCCTGGTAAGGAGAGAGAAGTGGTTGATTTTGTGAGAGAAATCCATCCTCACCATCATAGACCATCCGACTCTTCCCTTTGTCCACTTTGCTAGACCTTTGAGGCTTCAAAAAGTCACTGAAACTAAATTGAGAGTCTTTTCGCTCTCGCTCTTCGTATCTCTGAGCTCGACTATCATATTGCCAATGTTTGTCGAGTTGCTCCAGATCACTATCTTCATCGTACTGTAGATCGGTCTTCCATTGCGCCTGCATGTTGTTTCTTCTTTGAGCTCGGAGCGTTGCCTGGAAGGTGTCCCAGTCAGTAGTGGAGTAAAAGCAGCTAGGACCTACTTCGCCGTTCACATCAAAGTACTCGCTTACATTGGGCAGATCAGCCAGACCCATTCCAGCGAGATCCTTCGAACTACACTGGGCATATTGGTCTTCAGATGGGCGGCTTGTGTTGTCAGATATGCTCGAGCGTCGGGCAACAGTAGGGTCGAGTGGTGGGTGTTCATCTTCGGCAGATCTTCTTCGGCCATAAAAGAGGCGTCTGAGCCTGGTATTGACCTTCTCTATTACCTCAGTGACCTGTGACGGCCTTCGGGAAAGAGACCCATTGCTCTGGGTATTTGGCGTAGGGAGCGTACTAGGAAGCGTTGGGTAAACACTGTCGAGATGCGAAGCTGATTCAGTCATAGCCACGTCGTATGTTGGTTGTGGTAAAAAAGGACAGTCGATTGTTGTTTCTTGAATACGTCTTAATGTTTTTCTTCGTTTCTTTAAATATCCCCGCGTCTGGAGGAATGATTCGGTTGCTCGTCGCTTCAACGTAAGCTCTGGAGGGTATGGTAATCGGTATGTTTCTGGTTTAACTTCTGTTTGGCTGATGTTGACAACTACATAAGGCTCATTGGAAGGTATGTGTACATGAACTTGAGAGGTCATAGCATTGGACAGCATGAAAGCTGTTGAGCGTAGTAGGGCGAGAGAGCAGAAAGAATGAAAAAAGACTCAATGACTGGATGATTCTTATCACTTTAATAGTCCAGCGATAGCATTAGTACGACGCGCAAGAACATGCTGGTACGGCCAATGACCAAAGTCACATATTTGTACCGAAGAAATCCGCCAATGGAGCTTGGTTGACAAGAAAACAGGGTGTTGACACGACGGCGCGAACCTGAATAAACACCGATCCATCTGGTTAGTAGTAGTTTGGAAGACCAACAAAGCAGCCTGGAACAGATAAGGAGATTCTGCGCCTGCACACGCATGCAAGAGAAACATGCAGTTCGAGCGTTTCTAGGAAAACTGCCCTGTAGAATTTGGCGGATATGAAACGTTACCATGGTAGGAGGCGCTACTGTGGTGACTCGGGAGGAGAAGGTTTCGTGCGCATTTTGTTTAAGTGTTGGCACCGTCGAGGAGCATCGGTGCATTCGCCATCGTTACCACAAGAGATTGTCCGTCTAGGCCTAAATCCCCGGCCCTTACGACCCGATAACGCAGCATCGTCCTCGCGTTATGAAGGGACCGAGAAGCTGTCAAGGAGTCCTTCGACATCATAATCCTCACAAAGACAGGATGTACTGCCTGTCAGCGAGCAATAACTGGAAGGTATATTGAAACAAGAGGGGTATAAGCTGTCTCCAGAAGCGTTGCTCCGTGAATATGACCAATTCTCCTTCTAGAGCAGGCGACTATCGCTAAGGAAAGCCTGGAGAGGATCCGGAAATCTCAATTGGAAGAGAACATGTTGTGGTTTGGATGTGGTGGAGAAGGTGGAAGGATCCGGAGCTAACACCAGGCGTTGACGAGGCCCCGGCAGGTCGCCACGACTTGCCTTGCATGACATAATCCTTAGCGCGTCAGTCTGCAAACACGCCAAACAAACCTATGATGACACTACCATTCCGACTTTCGTGGTTCGCGAATTAAATCCGTTTTCCCATGTTACGATAGTCTTCAAAGGCTCGTGATGCCGCCCCGAATACTTCTAAGAGGGCCCAGGGCTCTATTGTCACCACCGACAGCCTGGGTCCGTCTGCGGCCTCAGCAGAGGTTTGCCTCGAGCTCCGCAAATGCACCGGAGGTTTACGACGTCGTCTGCGTAGGCGGTGGACCAGCAGGTCTGAGTCTCCTGACTGGTCTGAAAGCATCGCCAATCACAAGCGGGCTTAAAGTTGCTCTCATCGAGGGACAAGATCTACACAAGAATCGATTATCACAAGATGCTAGTTTGGAGAGCTTTTCCAATAGATGCAGCTCCCTCACCCCGGCCTCCGTGAAGAACTTACAGGGTACGAACGAGTGTGTAAAGTGTATGATAGTTCCAGTCTGACGTGCGCGAAATAGAAATCGGAGCATGGGCGCATGTCAATACACCCCGGGTGCAGCCATACCAAGAGATGCAAGTATGGGACGGCGTCACTGATGCGCGGATATCGTTCGATTGGCACACAGCGAAACCTCTCCTTACTCCTCGTAACCCGGCGCAGCCCACGACGATCGCCTACATGATCGAGAACGTCAATACGGTTACCGCTCTCTTGAGCCGGCTCGAACAATTGGGTGGTGTCGACTTTTACACATCCACTAAGGTCAACTCGATAGATTTGGGTACAGATACAGAGAAGATGGACTTCTCATCGTGGCCAATGCTCACGCTATCCAACGGAAAGACATTGGCAGCTAGGCTGTTAGTCGGAGCCGATGGTGCGAATAGCCCAGTGCGGACTTTTGCAGATATTGAGTCGCGAGGCTTCGATTATGGTAGACACGGTTTGGTGGCTAGTCTGAAGCTCGAGGGGCAAGGCTGGGGCGGTCCAGATCACAAGATCGCATACCAGCGGTTCTTGCCAACCGGCCCCATAGCTATGCTGCCCCTTCCAGGAAACATGTCGACACTTGTCTGGAGTACCACGCCGGAGCGTGCCGCGAAGCTCAAGACGTTGTCACAAGAGGATTTCGTTGCAATGGTCAATGCGGGTTTCCGACTGTCACCCACAGACTTGGAGTATCTACACACACTGTCATCTGGACAGGCAGAAGAAGTTGCATGGCGAGAGAAACACACGCCTGTCGACGAACATGCAATACCAATGCGAGTAGCACACGTACAAGACGGTACAGTTGCATCCTTCCCACTTCGCATGCGACACGCGGATACATATACTGGTGAACGAGTTGCGCTGGTTGGCGATGCGGCGCACACCATACATCCGCTCGCAGGCCAAGGTTTAAACCAAGGCCAAGGCGATGCTGCGGCGCTCGTTCGAACGATATCACATGCAGTGCAAACTGGCCAAGACATCGGATCAACGTTGGCGTTGGAGAGCTATACCAGCGAGCGATACGCGGAGAATAATGCAATGCTGGGCGTATGCGATAAATTACATCGACTGTATAGCGTTGAATCGGGCCCGCTTGTAGGATTGCGAAGTCTCGGATTGAGAGCTGTCGATGCAATGGGTCCACTAAAGGGTTTCTTCATGAGCCGCGCTGCAGGTGGATCTTAAACGTTTGTACTTGTATCTGTAAACATATGTATGCATACCTAGGTAGCTTGGCAACACAAAACAACATACGATTTCTAAACAACCACCACCGAAGAATCCCGATATGCTGTTCCGCGGACGATACGCGGCTTACGCATTTTCCCTGCATCGCGGCCCCACTAATAATCTGGTCCTTCGGCACCTCATGGAAACGTTAAAACAGACTTACTCCTACGACAAGTGAGCTTACATATCTCACTAATCGACCATGGCAGACCACACGAGTGAGATTGAGACTTATGGCAGCAACGATGACTTCTGGATCTTTGGATACGGGTAATGCTGCCGAACGAACAAGCCTTTCCAAACACGACGTAGCTAACGCCTCGGTCTTAGGAGCTTGATATGGAAACCACCGCCACACTACGGTACGGCCCGAACAGAACGTTCTCACCACGAAAAGCAAACATCCCATGTTATTGCGATGAAAATGTATTTCTTGATCTAATTGCGAGGAATAGATCAACGCGTTCCAGGATTTATCGAAGGATATGTGAGGAGATTCTGGCAGGTATGTTTTTTTTCATCGATGGAGAGATGTGGTGAGACGATCTTCTTTGCTAATGGTAGTAGGCGAGGTATGAACATCGTTCGATGGATACATGGAGAAGCGGGTCTCTTTCATGCAGAGTATGCTAATGTTGGCATGATACAGTGAAGATCACCGGGGAACGCCCGAGGCTCCAGGACGTGTTGTCACTCTGATCGATAAAGCGCATTGGGAGACTCTGACAGACACTGTAAGTAATCGTCTGACCTCTCCCGTATCCACCCTGTTCACCGTATACGAATGCACTCAAAATGCCTCCTGCCAGAAGTCTAATAGCAAAATCCAGCATGATTCCACCGGGCGCGTGTGGGGCGCTGCGTACCATATTCCCGCCTCTCATGTAAAAGAGGTGCGCGAGTACCTCGACATCCGCGAGATAAATGGGTATTCCATTCAGTTCACGCCATTCCATCCTGCTATTAGTAGAGCCGAAGTCACGTCTCCACCTCACGACTCAGAGCCGAGTGAATCCGAAAGAGGCATGTGGGCGGGCATCCGAGCTACCAACTCAATAAGCGTGACTGAGGAGGCGGGAAGTATCAAGTGCCTGGTGTACATTGGATTACCAGAAAATCCGCAATTCTTGGGCGCGCAGGATCCTGATGCATTGGCGAGAAAGATATTGGAAAGTACGTTTAATTTCATTTTCGCGACTCTTGGGCTATTTCCTACTAATAGACACCTCATGCTGATCCGGTTGTAGGCAAAGGACCAAGTGGCGAGAACAAGGAGTACCTTTACAACTTGGAGATTGCGTTGCTTGGATTAAGCCACAACAGTGGAGACGCTCACGTGAGCGATTTGGTACGACGATGCAAACAATTGGAGCAGGAAGCTGGAGTCGGAAAGGAGGAAGGCAACAGTAGCACTCAAGGGTTGTACAGGGTAGGAAGCACGGAGGAACAAGAGGAGGTTGAAAAGTAGCATGGAGCACAGCGGACAAGTCCGTAATGTAACATCACCTGTGGCGATACGCACTTGACAACAAGATCGAGCCAATCGAGGCCTCTGCAAAATGTCGCTCGCGCTATTATGATTACGAAGCAGATCGATCTGCATGCAACCACCAATAACGCCAGACAGATGGATAATGCGCTTAGAATACACAAGAAGAGAATGCTAGGTACTATGCCCACGCGCCGACTAGTGCCATTAACAACGCTCCTCCTACGACACTGGCACAGGCCTGCAGTCGCCGCTTCCCACGTAAAGTGACATAGCTTTCGTCACTGAGGAAGTCTTCAGCCAGGAGCTCCACCAGGCCAGCAAATAGCAGCAAGCCACTGGATATGGCGTTCATGAAACCTACGGTCAGTAAGCCAGCTTCACTTGCTGGGTCATACAGAGTGTGGATAGCTAGACCTATCGCCTGGCCGATCGGTGTAGTTGTTCCGTAAGCTAGAGCCATTAACCACGGTTTTGGAGAGCCCTCGGGGAAGCGGATAGCGCTGATCCTGGAGCCGAGTGCGAAGCCTTCGAAGGTTTGGTGGAAGGATATGGCCACAAGGAAGACAATGAAGGCGGTGCCAGTGGCGACTGAGAGCGCCATACCTATGAAGATGGAGTGGAAGAGGATTCCAGCCTCTAGAAGGAGACATTGTAACAGTAACTTTTTATTCTGGGCTTCTGTCTTCTCCTGGTCGTCTTCGGACGACTCGCCGCCAGGTCGATGAGTGTGGTTCTGAGCACGCGGACCGGGCAGTAGGCGCGACTCGTCTTCTGAGAGCTCTTCGTTTTGGTGTTCCAGCTCTTCTCTGCTTATTTCAAGATCCGAGTCGTTGTCGTCGTCTAGAGATTTTCGACCCAGGGGTTCGTTGGGTGTCATGGGCGATGCCAGTGAAAAGGACGGTGATCGGCCTGCCATCAGATTGGCTGATGATTCGACATCATGCAGCATGATGCCCGGCACGTTGCCGTTCAATCTTGGTGTGCCGTTGCTAAACCTCCCATAGCTGTGGCTTCTCTTGTGACCGGGGCGCGCATTCGCATGGTGATGGTCTAGACCCAAGTCGCCAGTCGAGTGTGAGTGGCCTGCTCCTCTTGATGCGAAGAACATCTCAATCCCTACCACCATAAACACCGACGACATGGCTATGAGACCCGGCATAGCCGGGTAGCCCTGGTTCCAGAATCTGGGAAGACATGGGTCGGTAAGGGATTCGAAGGCGGTGGGCAGGAGATGGACGAAGGCGGTCGCTATCAGAACACCAGTGCCGAAGTGCCTAGATATAAAGAGGAATTGGTGCGGAACGGGTATCGAGGGAAAGCGCTTGACGACGATGGGAAAGGAGCAAGCTGCGACATGGTCAGTGGTGTACTCATGTGTACGTGAAGCAACATGCGCACCTGCAGTACTCAGCGTGAGTATCAAGAACAGCGCGAAGACATGTACAGGCGTATTATAGTATCCCTTGCCGCCCTTGCTTCCACATTCCGGCCGTTCCTCGTTCTCTTGCTGTCTTCGGAGCAATTCCGCGTGGAGGATATGCGCAGGTATTTCTGAAAGCCCTAAATCAGAGGAGCGTGGTTAGTGTACGGACGCCACAGTCAGCAGAATAAGCACGCATACCTGCTGCAATTCCGTCTGCCTGCATTGCGGATGTTGACAGAGCTTCCGGAAGTTGAAGGTACGCGTGGTTCCATCGCGCTTGCCCAGTAGTCGCCGGGGGCCGGGGGCTCTTTATTCCTCGGCTCCTTCACCTGTTTACACACTCTCCGGGTCCGCGTGTCGACGTGCCTTCTTCCCTCTGACTGCGAATTGCATCCGTACGCGTGTTTGCGGGCTTCACTTGCACCCATGTATACAAAAAGTATTTCCGAGCGCGCCGGAAAGCCAAGAGTGCGTCATACCTGGTATCGTTTGAACCTCAGAGACGGCAACTCATCAAAACTCGACAATGCATAGGCTATCACGCGCTCCGGCTACTGGTAGTGTCGGCTGTGGCGTCCTCGACTCCCATCTTGACTATTCTAGACATTCCCGACAGGCAACATGTCCATGGAACATCATGCAATCCTAGCCACTGGCCATGGATGGTACTATTTTTGACCCCTTTCGGTCCAAAGCCATCCGCGAATCCTATTGCCTACATATATAGACAGACCCTGTGCCGTCTGCCGTCTCACGGAATCATTTCGCATACCCGTCTGAGACCAGCATAGGGCGTCGCGTGTCTTCATCATCGTTCGAGAGATTGGCATCGGCGGACACACCCCGTCACACCCGACTTCGCTTCTGCAGCCTAACACGAATCGGGTCCTTGATAGTTTCACATCTCGCGCCCCTCCACCACCTCCAGTAACATCAAAGACGATACAGGCGCAGCCCGACATCGTCCCGGCAGATGTCAGAACCAAAATGGTGGTACTCGAGCATGGATTGGGAAAGTTTGGCCTAGTCACCACTCGCAACGTCTTCCCGGCTACACCCTGCTAAGCCCCACCATCTACCACATCTCAGAACAGGACAATTCGGCATATTGCTAATTCTGTGACGGGAAGAACCGCTCGAGGGCCCGAAGGAGCCACCCAGGGGAAACTTAGCGGCTTTAACCGACAATGTCTAATCAGCAAGACTTCTTGTTCGTCGATGCAGCTCAAGCAAAGACGTCTCGCCAAGGTCGCCGCAATGCTCGTTCTTTTGTCATGCAGAACGCGCGGAGGAAGAACCCTTGGTCTACAAGCAAACATGGTGCAAAACAAAGGAAAACTGGAAGTCCCGAAAGCGCAAGTCCCAGCAGTACATGTGCGTCAACGCCAAAAACAACCACGCCAAGCCCACCAATTGTTGCGAACAAGTCTGACTACTTTTCCTCCCCAGAGTCCAAGGGCTATGCCATAGTCAGAAAAGATGTTTGTCCAGACTGTCAGATTTTTCTGTGTCGCCCTGGTGAGAGGCTATGCCAAAGATGTCTTTTGCTCAAGCCTGCGGCGCCGGCAGAAGACCCAAATAATCAATTATTCGACCCTTTTCGGACATCGTCTGTCGAAGTTACCCGCAGCGTATCGGAACTGTTGAAGCATTGTAAGTGACAGTCCCTGCATCCTTGTTTGCATCGACGTTTCCCAGTTTGCCGGGTTCGTGACACGGCAACGCTGCCCAGCATGTTGGCCAAGAGCGCAGTGCAATGGCGGGGAGAGCGCAGAGTCTAGACTGCAGTCGATTGCAAGGCGTCAAACAGCCCGATGGGTGGTGGTCTTGGTTTCCGTATGCTGACTAGTATTGTGTAGTTTCAACGGAGATGGCGCCCGGTATCATCGCAGTCGACGTTCGGCATCGGTCGACCTTGATGAAGTCGGACTGGTTTGGTACAGCAATCGGTAACTCAGGGTTCATGCACAGCCTGCTCGCTACGATTGCGCTACATGCATGGGTATTCGGGAAAGACACGATTGATGCCGTCTTATATCATCGAGCACAAGCTATTTCTGCTGTTAATGCCGCGATACTGACACCGGATGGCGTCTCGGATGCGAACATAGGCGCAGTTTTCAATTTACTCACCATAGAGCAGGGACTCCGTCTGCCATGTTTCGAACTGCATGAAGATCACGCAGCCCAACTCGAGATTCATGAGAGAGGTTTGCAAAGAATGGTGCAGTTGCGTGGAGGATTACGAGCAATCAACACAAATCGCATCCTCCAGGCTTTTATGCTTTGGTGTGTAGCTAAAACTCCCATGTTCTGTCCCGAACCGGGTTGGCATGTGCTTACTGAGCATCAGGCATTCGACCGCTCACGCCATCTTCAACTTCCAACCACCAAGCCCCTCTACATTGGATTTCATCAGCACGTCCGGTTTCCCACATCATCCTCCAGGCTACCGGCGGCACATCTCACAGCATCTAATCGACTACTGCCGGCATGCTGGTATCAAAGAGTCGCTCAATGCCCTAGTGGAATCGGTGCTCTTCCTGATAGCCGATCTCAACGCCTGGTTCAGTGATCCCGAAAGTTTCTTAGACCCTCTCGATATTCAGAACTTCTCGTGTGCCTTGGAGTGCCTCTTACTTACATGGCTACGTGAAAACGAACATCTTGCTACCCCACTTGAAGATGCGCTTTGCGTTGCGTTGCTCATATTCACGGTACGCACGACAGAAGCATTCAATCAGCAGTCTCACGTTCACCATCTTCACTTTGCGGCAAGCAAACGATTAGAGAGAGCGCTGAACTGTACCATTCGTACTGAATGGCAGCATTGCCCCGACCTTCTGCTCTGGATACTCTCTATTGGCGCAATATCAGCGGAGCCCTCGCCGGATAGCACATGGTTTGTGTATCAAACGTCGCTCGCTTGTGCAGAATTCGACATCCTTTCGGCCGAAGCGCTTCTCGAACGACTACACCTCTGCGGCTGGGTCAGCTACAAGCTCAATGACGCTGTATGTCATCTATGGGACAGGGTTGTTAATCTCAGGTTAGATGACCGTAAATTCTTGCCTATGCATTCGTTTGCTTATACTTGAGTTTGTCTTGTACGTAGGCTTGCGCCATTCTTCGAAGCACCCTCGAAAGCTGAAGACGCCAATAGTCCTGTTGGACCGTTGCAACAACACGTTGCCGAACCGGACCTCAACGCGTGGGAGAGCATTGACTGGGCCGCGCTGAGTCTGGGTCTGGATCATCCAAACGAAGGGAATGAAGATAATCCCGAGGACCGAGGTGCGACAGCAGAGACTTGCGGCACTGGAGCGACAGACGAATCGTTGTATACCTTTGGCAGCGGCTATGCTTTCACGTGTACGTATAGCCTCGGCCGTTTTGAGATCCCACTAATGCATGCATCAATGAGTGCTAATGATTTTGGCGAATCTACAGGGCCCACGACCCAGCATTCATACCCACCCTGGATGAACGGATCGCATAGTCACCACGAACAATAGGCCAAACTTTTCATTGTTGCTAGATTGTTGCCTTGAAGTGCACACATCTGCGCTTGGTCAATCGATCAACAGCACTCCAACTTGGAGTCAATTTGACGCTCCACACTATAATCGAGCCTATCGTAGCAGTGTCCCGTTTGGTGTGTAAAGCCGTTCACACATGTTACTCCCTTGTGCAGTATCGGTTCGACCTTATATTTCCACCCAGTTGGCTATGGTGATCGAGATGTGGCATTATTTCCACATCTACAGACTTCTCAATAGGCTGTGATGATGGCGTTACTCAGTTTGCATGCCGTTGGGATCTCCTTATGGCAAGAGGAGACAGACTATGGGCGTTTTCAATGCTGGGCCCAAAAGGATCTTCCAATACACACAGGTCCTCGATGTCGTTCTTATGTCAAGTATGCACTTTGGTATCCCTCGATCTACAATCCTCAATTCCTGCAGAACGTTACCAGTCTGATAGATTTAGCCGTGGTACGGCATTGCTCTAGTCAAGCGCCGACACCTCCGACACGTTTCCGTCAGCTGTAGCTGAACAATTTGATTTCCTTCCACCTTTCGCATCTATCAGCGTATCAGGCGCAGATCTCATGTCATAGTAACTACTACAAGCTCAGAGGGAGACTGATGGGTTCAGAGATGAAACCTTGAATATTTTGGAGGAGGTACTCAGCTCTTACATTCACCGATTTTCTAGTGTGAACGTACGAGTAATCACAATGTGTGTATGTGTGAGATCACACGGCCCTCTCTCGGACAACTACATAAACCTTCCTCTTCCTTATTTCTTGGAAAAGAACCAACATCAACTCAACCCCAACATCTCCGCCTCCGCCAGAGTTGTTCTTCAACTTTCCTTCTTGATCATCCAACGGCCACGAAAACCCCTCCCCTTGTAGTACTCTCTCGATCACAAGACACAGCTACCAACTAATAGCGTCCGCGAACTATGGCCAAAAGCATCTTCATTACAGTTCCAAACGACCTCTTGGACCAAATCTTTGCAGATGTGGACCGCGAAGATTTGATAAACCTTATCAAGACGCATCGATCTTTCATGAAATCCGCTCAGCGGCACTTGTTCCACACAATCAACCTTCCAGCACTATCTACCTTGGCCAAATCTTTTGTCACATATGATAACAAGATTATGGATGCATCGCAAGTCAAGGAATACATACGATGGGATCAAGATCATAGTCGATATCTTGATGCAGGGCCCTCGATTTTGCTACCGATACCAGATGCACAGATGAAACCAGACTACAAACAGGAGAAGGCCTGCAAGAGGGTGATGGATCGACAGTGTACCTGTGCTCTGATCCTGCAGGCTATCACATTGACACCGCACTTGGCAGACTACGTCCGTCATGTTCAGATAGATTCTGAGTGGGGCTCACCACTCTTTGTCAACTCGCAAACTTACACCATACTCAACAAACTACCGAATTTGCGTAGAGTCGAAATCGTTATCCAAGACTGGGTGGCAGGTCGAGAATGGATCCCAATCCAGCAACTTTGTATACAGCAGCTATTCGACATGCTTAAAGACCTCCGAATCCAGACAATCGTTTTGAAGACACCATCGGTCAGGATTCTGAGCAAACTGATGCAGATATCCACCATCCAGTCTTTCGCAATTGACACCGTTATCGAATCTCTAGACGATTATCACCCCTCGTCGTTTGAGCCTACTATACTTCCCAACCTTATATCTTTCGATTCCAGGAATTTCACAATAGGCCCTGCTAAAATGGTAAAACTGCTCAGTCAGGCCAAAAACCTCCAGTCACTGCTCATCACCACGAATTCGGACTATGTCCGCCCAATGAATTTTGAGGTTGCCAATGGTACCCTGATCGTATCCACTACAGGCATTCTAAAAGCGAGTCTGGGGCCTAATTCCTCCTTGAAAGAATTAGCACTGCTAGAACCGGCGGGCGTATATTTTACAGAGGGTCGTCACTTTCGTGACCATCTCCACCCTACCATCAACGCCAATTTCTCGTTCCTCAAACACCTGCGAATCCTGAAGATCACCTCGGCCTTTTGGTATAATCGCCATTTCGACCTACCCAGCGCACCCGAAAACGGCTGGATGTGGAAGAAACAGGACCGCTGTGCTGCTCGCGTGTACAACTTCCTCCCTCCATCGCTCCGCGAATTGGAAATCCAATTCATGTGGCCCGAAGTTGTTTTCGCCGCGGGCTTGGGCTATCAAACACACTTTCCTTTGACACCTCAGGCTACCCAGTTGAAGGGTTTTGAATGGATCAAGGAATTCGCGGAGCAGAAACAACGTAAGAAAGGTGTTTTGCCAGAACTGGAACGTCTTAGATTGGTCGAAATTAAGGGAGCTCCTTCATCGGTTATCAAGGCGGGGGGCCCTAAGACTTATGCCACGGATACCTATTCACCGCCGGAAGTGATGAGGGAATTGTTTGAGGATGCTGGGATTAAGCTTGTTATAAAGCTTTCCAATTCGTTACAGAGCGAGTGGTAGTGCAAGACAGATGATGAACTTTCATGCTTAAAAGGGTGTCAAGATTGTATTCTTGTTTAGCAAATTGCTTAATTAAAGAAAAGAAAAGTATAACCTGCACGTTCATTGATGGAAGCTATGAGCCCACAGCCTATGCAGGACATCAGATGATGAGATTGATGTGAGCGCTCTTCTCAAATGCCGACGTCTGTGATGCCCGTAACCAGCCCGGGGGTTTGTCTCGTCACATATCGAGGAGCGGAAAAGCTGTAAAGCTCTGGGTGATGGTCTTTACCAACCACCAGACCAAAACTACAGCTAGTGCACTGGCCATGATCTGTAAAATCTCTAGGGAGTTATTCAGCTTGATTTGTGCCTCAACATAACCCTCATCGGCTGGAAAACAGTTATGCTGTTGAAAGTGTTCTAGCAGTTCGTCCTTTTCGGCCCATCGCTTATAGAGCCATTGATCGAATGCCTTAGAATCACTTAGAGGGATATTTGCAACGTCAAAGCGGCGCCAGTGAATGTGGGTTACCGGAGCGTCGTGGCTTTTGATGTAGAGATTGTGAAGACTGTAAATGTCCTGTCCAAACTCACCAGGACTGGACACTAATCAGAAAACTAGATCACAACTTAGAATGAGAACTTACGGGATACCCTCATATGCTATAGTGCAGTCGTACACCCATTTGACAGTAGGATTCAATGCTTCCAAACAGAATTGCAAACCTCGAGTCCGTGGCAATAAGACGTGCTTGAGGTCATGGATATTCATCTTACTCGCCCATTTCTCACTCATTCCGCGCGTGTTACCGGACAGATTCGTGCCCTCGGGGAAGATGAGTAACCACATTGCTTGTTGTAGACTAGGATTCGAAAGATGGCTCATACGGTGCTCAAATCGCGGTCGATCCGCTTCCCAGCGGCGAGATAGGAAAACCCAGGAGAAAAACATCATGCCGGGACCGAGGACTGGAATGTTTTTCAGAGAGTCCTTGAGGACTATGAACAGGTGGCCATGATGATGGGTGGTATATGCAGACCACCAAAGGAAGAGCCAGTCTGTGTAGATCTGGAAATGTCAGCTGTGCTGTTACATAGCACATCGTTCTTAGACGGTTCTGGCATACCTGATGATTGGCGATCAGAACAAGACGATCTGGAAAGTCTAGATGAACCCAACCGCTAGAAGTTTTTCTAATCTGACCCCGGACACTCGCATCACCGCTGATCTTCGCCGAGCAAGGGGCAATCCATTGGTTCAAACTGATTAGAAGAAGTGCAGTGGACTCCTTCACTACTGCTTGCCAAGCGTAAAAGCACTTCCGGTTGAGCAGATAGATGGGCCCACCGAGCCACTGCTGAAAGTGTAGGCTATCAACCAGCGTTACTTTTACTTTTTAAATATAATAGTGTGCTTGTCAGTCTTACCAGATTGTACTCGCGATGAAACATAGAGCGAGTAAGATAGCTTGAATCGTCTTGAAGACCTCGCTTCTTAGCGACTGTGTATGCGTATTACCCTTTGTAGATGTTGGGAAAGACGACTTGGTACATGCTACAGGTTCATCGCTAGCTGTCAGTTGTTCCTTGCTGTTGCTGTTCAAGACCAGCGACCGTGCGCTCGCGAAAGACATGATCTAGGGCGTGACAGAAAGCCAAGAGTTATGTACAGAGCGATTCGAAGTCTAAGACATAAAGACAGGCAGATATGGGTGTGCTGGTTCAGAAACAGATGAGAATGAGGGGGATGTTTGGTCTTTGCAACGAGAGGGGTGCGGAGGCCACAAGGCTGAGGGAGGTGAAGGCTGCCCAGATAGCGCCACAGTTCGTATCTACTTCAATTCGTAACGGTACCGAAAATAAATTACACATGTGCAATATGCATCACCGATCACAGCAGAGATACGGAACACCAACGATATTAACGATAAGCATGATGCCGCAAATGGGTGGTGGATGCAGCTCGCCGCGGCGTGTGGTTTCGACCCCTGTCCGCGGCTCCGCGCATGGGGGCGGAATTCAGTCTTGGCTGATTTCCGGGACAAACCAGTCCCCGCTCCATGCTAGTGTTAGGCAACTACTTTTAGTTGCTATTTCCGTCCAGAGCACCTAGCTAGCTCTTTAGTGCAGATTATGTGATCATATGTTCTCTACCACACCCACGTTTTCGATGTACCTACATTTACAAGAGGAAGAATCTTGACAGTTTTCGCTTCACATCATACAAGCAAGCACGCCACTGCCACCCGAATCACCTTCTCTCTAGGGTAACGATGCGGCACTGCATACAGTTGTGCAAGAAGGCACGAAATACTGTCACAAGGCTAAGCCTACCGCAATTCTATCCATATTGATGTACGTTCTGTGGAGGAAACAAAAAACAAATAACCCAGTACTCAACACCTTCCTGTCGTACAAAGTAGTTAACACAGCTGATGATGATATTGGATTGCCTGAAACACCTTCGCCTCCAAGCTCATAACCCAACAGCGGAACATCTCCGATGTTACAGTTTATGCTATCAAAAGACTAATCACTTGAAATGCGGCCTAAGCTCTGGAATGTTGACTGTCGAGAAAGGGCCTGCCTGTTCATGGATACTGTCTCACTGATATCTGTTTTGAACGTTGACTTCGACGTCAATGCTGGTCTGAGTAAAGGCTGTTGGGACGAGTTGGGACGATCTAGTCCAGATTCCAGATTATGCAGATCGTACACACCGTCGTCTTCTTTCGTCTTGTATACAGCTCTAGCGACGTCATACGGAGACGTTAGAATTCCCAGGAATCGTGCTGGCCATGGAGAGCGGGTCGTGATTCGTCGTCGGTCAACGAATATGTTGCCACCCAGTTCAACTTGGACTTTACGCCTTGTCGGCTTAGCTGTATCATCTAGGTTGATCATGAAAAGCCTAGCCAAGACGTAGTAAGCTTCTTCATCTTCATCAGCCACAAAGTGTAACATTGGATCCGCTGTCTCGATACCGGCAACAATCCATGATGTGATGGCCCGACTGAAAACACCTGCTCCAAGGACACATGTTAAGATGAAGGTGGCTATTGCAATGGATAGTAGTTGAGCTGATGCAAAGCAAGCAGTGCCAACAATGAAAACGGCGATGCTGGTGATTTTGCTAAGCGAACGGGTGAACGTTCTTCGCCAATTGTGCGAATGGCTTGTGACCGATACCTGAACGAACAGTGTGTTTATAGCGTCCGCGCGACTTTGTTGGCGACCTGTAAACTTTACAGTGCCTGTCTTGAATGACTTCAGTTGCTTGAGGGCCGTCTTAACGTTTTCAGTCTCGTGTTTTTGACCGGCGAGGTGGTTGGTAATGTCATCCCCACCGAGGACGGTAAGGTCATAAGGTACGTCTGAGAGGCACAGTCTCCATTGCTTCTCAAAAGGGAGCTGCACGTAGTTGTCTATCGCGGCACTTAATATGACTAGAGCTATGTTAGGGACTGTCAAGGTCAAAGCTGGTCTGGTGTTACTCACCCATCATGTACCAAAGATGAACCCACCACTTCGATATACACCACCATGGAAGTATAGCTCCTAGCTCCACGACGATCATTGCGACTTGAGCGGAAAGCAAAAGGATTGACATGCCCGTGAGGCCAACCAGGATGTACATCTTTGGGACTTTTTTTTGTGCTCCGCTCTGCAACTTCTTTTGAACTCTTCTCATTAAGATGTCCGCTCGTTCTTTTATCCTGTTTTGGTCGTTACTGTCGATAGTCGTCGGTAGTGCAAGGCTGCTATATGAGCCCCGCAAGTCTCCCTTTATATTCTTCTTCATGAAGGCGCTCTCATAGTCCTTGATCTTAACAGGGAGAATGGCTCCCCCGAAAGAACATGCCATTGCTAGAAAACCTCCAAAAGGAATCATTGTAAGGAGGCGCCAAATCTCGTTGGTAGGGGTACCAAGTAAAGCTCCGATCGTTGGTAGAAGCGCAAGGACGCCAGCCGCACCGTTGTATTCCGCCTTTCGAATCTCATTGAGATTATTTGCAATGGCGCTTTGCAGACGGGAGTAGCATAAGTAAGTTTTATATGGCCCGCCACCGTCTGTTCCTTGACGAATGCACCGTCCACGGTTGACCCAGTCCTTGAATTGGAATCTCAGCTGTGCGTTGCCAACATAGTTGTCTGTGATAGTGCTGCAGTTGGTGATTGTTTCGTTAAGCCATTCAGTCGGAATGTCTTGTGCCATTACAGACGACAGCAGCCATAATCCCAAGAGCATGGGTATGTAGTATCTCATATACAGCTGGACATAGTATATGAGACGACGTGATGGCGACGAGAAGGCATGAATGAGGTGGTTCATGAATGCGGGATCAGGCGAAGCTTTGCTGGGTGGTTGAAGTGACATGTTCGTATACAGACACTGACTGTCCTTTCTCTGAACAAGCCGACAAGAAATGTAGTTAGGACACCGGTTGCTTCAGATGCGAGATGATGTTCGTTGGCAAATACAACAGACAAGAACCCTCGATCCGGAAGCATGCATAACACTGAGGCTGGTAATACGAGTCCAAGCCGTGTATCAATGATACCTGTCAGTGACAAGTATGAGCCAATCTTATTCATCCCGCACTAGACGCACTGTCACTATGAAATGCCACATCATGGCTGCTGACCTACGTCTTGGACGACTGTGTGGCCCGATTCGCTATAACACGCAGGTTACGCAAATGCAGGTGGTCTAGATGACACAAACGACGCGCCACATTTGAGTTTGGTCACGGCTCGATCCCTCCATTCCGACAGATCAGCTCTCGTTTTCCGGTACAGGGAAATGGTAGTTTGGGAAACAAGGCTATCATTACGATAATAGATGAGCAGCCTAGATCACGGTTCCACTCTTGACCAGTCGTTGCAGACAACTAGTCCTGCATTGTCCTTAATTACACACTGATAGACCTGAGTCTTGAGACATACATAACTTAACTGAATGTTCAAGGATGACAAATGTTGTCATACCAACATCAAGCCCCTAGCACCGTAGCCTTCGGTTCCCGCCTCGATTCTTCTCAAATACCTCACCTCATCCCCAATCTTTCAGCCTCACGAACCATGTCGGCCGCCAAATCGACGAAAGACGCAGTACTCTGCACTATCCACGAGATCGAAAGCTGGCAACAGGAAAACAAGTATCTCATCGGTCATTATCGGAAGCCGTCCCACTCGTATCTCTCCTGCTTCATCAGTCTGGGCTATCTTCATAATCAGACGAGCAATATCTACACTCATCTGCTGGGTACAGCTATGTTCCTAGCTTGGGCAGTACAAACTTACAGTGATGTATTGCAGAGATACCCGACATCGGACTACAACGACTTCCTCGTTTTTGGGGTCTTCTTCACTTGCGCATTGAGCTGCTTTGGATTTAGCGCTTGCTTTCATCTGTTCATGCATCACTCTGCGGAAGTGAACCAGACTTGGTTGTTGTTCGATCTCTATGGTGTCTTCGCCTTGATCATTGCGACAATCTTCTCTGGTACCTATTACGCCTTCTACTGCGATCGGTTTTGGTGGAAAGCCTATTCAGCAGGGGTTCGTTCGCACCCGCTCTGCGAGTTTCACGTAACGTTAACTAAGTAACTGTAGATTCTCTGCGTAACTTTCGCATGCGCTCTCTTCTGCACCAAGCCTGAGTTTAGACACCCGAAATGGCGGAACGTGCGCGCCTTTCTATTCATCTCCATCGGCTTTTACGGCGTTCTTCCGATGACTCATTTGGCGGAGAAGTGGGGTAGGCCTAAAGCGAACGAAATCATCGGGTGGAATATGATGTTTTTGGAGGGTCTTAGTTACGGTGTTGGTGCAGCGATATACGCAGTAAGTGATCATCCTCAGAAACCTTATTAGCTTCTGTTTAACTCCCGAAGTTTCGTATACCCGAACGATGGAGGCCTGGCAAGTTTGACATCTGGGGGGCATCACATCAGATCTTTCACGTTGCTGCTGTTCTGGGAGCTGTGCTACACTATAAAGGACTGCTCCGGGGATATGACTACAGCCACAGTCCAGTGTCGCGACAGTGTTAGGTAAGACTTTATTCAGATATCTTATTGATAGGGGAGCCTTCAAAGGCTCATCGGTGCATTTAATAACGCGATGTACGATCTGAGCAGCGGATAGGTCGTACTCGTGCATGCTGCTCTCTCCCATCTGCAGTGAGAGGGTTGGGTGGTCAACATAGAATGTAGGTTAGCGTCAGGTAATCACAAGCGGGATACTTAGGGAGGCGCATTTAGCGCGCGTAGAACGGTTGATCCAAGAGCATTCCTTATCCACTGCGATTGGTGCGTTTCCAGCGTGAGGCATGAGCAAAGCGATTTTGCCGTGATTGTGGCTGTCAGTTGCTAGCGAATCAGATGTGTGCCTCTCAAGCACCCCACCAGGGGCTTTTCCGAAATGACATTGTGTAACCAACAAACTCTTGGAGAACACGTAATTTGGATAGATCTTCCTCAAAAGGAAACCTAGTTCTATTCGGATAGAAGGTTCACATACTCTCCACAACAATCCATATCTTCCAAGGTTTCTTGCTACAGATATGCTGGGCATCTAGGTAAGCCTGAGTCTCTAAACATTGAATACTGAGGTACTGTATATGCTTGATCCGACGTCCAAACATTGAGATATGGCGGGGGCGTCCAAGTAATCTTAGCGCTATCGATTTACAAATCCGGCCATGCATGCACCGGTGAACAGAAATAACTTCTGATCAGGCTGAGAAACCTGGTAACGCCGATCCATTTGCGCGTATGTGTATATGTGTTTTAGCATCTAGGAGTTTTAGCCCGTTTCAGCTCGGTCCAGGTCATGCAAACCATGCCTAGGTAGTTTCCAGGCTTTCGCATCCTCACAACATGGCAACTACCTCGAGTATCTGATAAATCTTTCGGTACATCCGACAACGATATTATCACGGCAGTGGACTCCATTTACGTGTGGCTCCGTGAGTGTACCTAGGTGCCCCCTTTTTCCAGCCGATGACTAGATATGTTTTCTGCACTGTTCAATTACTAATCACTCTATGAGCAGACTATACTCTTCGCTACAAGTTGGCAACCTTCATATTGACATTACCGCATCAGCTACCTATGTTTCAGGCTATAGGTGTTCACTCGACAGCGCCATCATGGAAAACGGAGGTACTCGATATGAAGGGCAGGACACCAGACCTACAAGCCGTCGCGAGCTATATGGGTGGTATTCATACGGACTAGCTGCCGAGGTCTTCACGGTATGCGGAGTTGGTGAGCTGATGAACCTCTCTTCAAATCAATGATATCTGACAAGTGAGTGCTGCAGGCTCATTCCTTCCTATGACGCTTGAATCTCTGGCGCGAGAAGTCGGAGTGTTACAGTCCGACAAATCAACGCCATGTGTTCGACAAGATTCACCTTCGACCTCACTGTCGCCTGACACAACCGATCGAAGCCAATGTATCGTGCAGCTATTCGGTCATGAACTAAATACCTCGAGCTTCACATTGTACTCTTTCTCCCTGGCTATTATCGTGCAAACACTTGTTCTCATATCGATTGGGGCTATAGCAGACTATGGTATGAGTAATTTGATCATTCACTGTTGTGACTGCGAGCTGACTCGTTCGACAGGCAGCAACCGCAAAAGACTTTTGCTTGTCCTCAGTTTCACTGGCTCTACGGCATGCATGCTGTTCATCTTTGTGCATCCCGGTATATTTCTGGTTGGTTTGTTCCTGACAATTGTGAGCGTCGCCAGTCTAGGTTCCTCCTTCGTCTTGCTCAACTCTTTTCTTCCGCTTCTCGTAGCAAATCATTCCTCGATAAGCCAGAGTCAGGAGTTCCACTCTGTGCCACTTGATAATGTCCTCTCAGTCTCCGAAGACAGTGATGGCGACAGCGACGACGACAACGACAACGATGGCGATATTCCAGACAATGAAGACTTGGCGCAAGATAGGCTTGCGACTGTTGCGCTTCTCAGTCGTCTACCCCAGCAAGCGTTAAGCACCGTACCTGGAGACGTTTCACCTTCACTGAAGCTCTCCAACATAATCTCGTCGAAAGGAATTGGTTTTGGATATGCTGCATCGGTTCTTGTGCAAGTCATCAGCATCACCATAATTTTCGTTTACCGCCAGGCTCAAGCTTCAGGGTCCAAAATCTCAACAACCATGCCCCTGCGTACTGTTTTGTTTCTGGTCGGATTTGTATGGGCTGCATTCACGGTACCCACCGCGTGTTGGCTCCGCCGTCGGCCGGGACCGCCATTGCCCTGGAACGTCGGCAACAAGAAGTCAAGAGGAGGCATAGTTCCCGGGCTTCGGTATATGCTTTTCTCATGGGTCTCTTTATGGCGAACCATACTGATTGCCGTACAACTTCGGGAAGTACTCAAATTTCTCCTAGGCTGGTTCCTTCTCTCTGACGGCATTGCCACGATCACTGGCACTGCGATTCTATTTGCCAAAGTTGAATTGCAACTCGGCGCCGCAGCCATAGCACTTCTGTCCATCACTGCGACCGCATCAGGTATCGTCGGTGCCTTGTGTTGGCCTATGATCGGCCGTTGTTGGAACATCAAGCCTATATCCATCCTGCTCAGCTGTATCTGCCTATTCGAGCTTATTCCTCTTTACGGACTGCTCGGTTTTGTCCCATTTATCAAATCGCTTGGCTTCCTTGGCTTGCAGAAATGGTGGGAGATCTACCCTCTTGGTGCACTCCTTGGGTTTATTATGGGAGGTATCTCATCGTATGCTCGCTCAATATTCGGCACCTTGATCCCTCCCGGGATGGAAGCCGCCTTTTATGCGCTATACGCTGTCACAGATAAGGGAAGTTCGGTAATTGGCCCAGCCGTGGTGGGACGTATTATCGACATCACAGGATCCATCAGAATGGGATTCTGGTTTCTTGCTATCCTTATGATATCCCCTGCACCCTTTTTTTGGTTTGTAGATGTGGAGAAAGGCAGGGAAAGCGGGCTGATTATGGCTGAGAAGAGAAACGTATCGCACGCGAATGAATCCAGCATCCACATGTGAGATGCGTTACTACAGATATTACCGTCGTACGATTAGCTGCGAGCACTGCATACGTAAGATTTCGCTCACAGTTCTTATCTCTCGATACATTTGAGGAACAACCTTGCTATTTCTCGACCGCATGTAGGCTTCGGTGAGCTCGTATTACCCAAAAGCAGAGTATCTGAATTTGTATGTGCTTACGTGCCCAGGCTGATTCTCGTCCCTTCGAAATACGCGACGCGTTCAAAGATGGCTATACCGCTTCGTACAACCAGCGAAAGAACGGATCTGTACCTCTTCTACATATCAGCTTAAGACCTCCCATGCTTTATAGCCCTAATTTGAATCTTCAACCTGATGCCTCTATCCCCAAACGCCCTTTTCAATTCCAGCGGCGGGTCCCAGTCAAGGACCGAATCACAATCATAACGATCGCCCGTTCTACTTATACGTCTTCTATCGGCTGGAACCAGTCCCTCAAGTACCTCGACATTCTTCAGATGAGGAAGTTGTGAAGCATTAGGAGCAACGAGCTCATATATCCAATTCCACGCTGGTTTCATCCTCATCTTCGCTTCGTCGGAGGTCATACGGAATAATGCTGCACGGTAGCCCATGCCAACGGCAAAGACGGCAGACATGCCATTGAAGTCTACACGAAGGGAGGATAGAGATGGAGGCAGTAAGTTGACGATAGACGGACGGACAATCTCGTCGCGCTTCCACAGAAAGCCTTGAGGGCCTTCATTGCTACGGCCAAACCACAAGCTAGCGGGTATGTGTAGTCGTTTGAGAGAGGAGAGACCTGAGAAGGGCATGCAAGGGAGTTGTTCCTGCTGCCACTGGCATGCTGGATCTTCAAGTATTGTCATGTCTGTCAGGGTTTTGGTCGCGTGAATCAAGCGCTTGGCTAAGGTGATTGTGGTATCAAAATGAAGTAAGTAGTATTTGACGTCGAATTCTCGCAAGACGATGTTTGCGTACTGCTGGGCGATGACTGGTGAAGAACGAAGCATGCAGTCGTTGAGGATAAGACTCAGTCCAACTTTTCGTTGTGGCTTCAATGTGTTGAGCATATCCATGAGCGTCGAGTAGTCCTGGACGGCTCCCCGGACTCTTTCCTCGAGATTCTCGATCATGTCTTGATGCTGACTATCAGGAAAGGGGCGAGCGATGATCTTGAGCGTGACGTGTCGGATTGCCGGCAGGCAGTTCAACACTTCCTGCGTTGCATCTGCTAGACGAAATTGTGCCCGGCTGTCAAAGACAAGTTCAAGATAGCGTATCGGTCCAACCAGAGTGTTGCCGGATCGTGTCTCATCTTGGCTGCCGTGAATGCTGTCCACAAGCTCTTTGCATGCTTCTTGTGCACCGTTCCCACGTACAAGAAGTCTCCGAATACTGTGGCGCACTGCATTGGCTGGTGGAGCAAACTTCGGATGGGCTTTGCTCAAATGTTTGAGCGTGTCGTCGTCGTCTATGAAATACTCAAATATGTATGCGAGAAGTTCGATCGGGATTGTAGTAAGAGATAGAGAGGACATGTTTCCTCTTGGTCAAATGAAGATGGTCGGAGTTGGTTGCCTGGAGGATATAATACTTGGGGACTACTGTAGATACCGATTACCGTGATTGGCCAGCCGTTAGTCTTTTCCCCCTTGGTCACCGCGTCTACAGATTCTTTCCATCTTTGGTCACCGCGCTGTCTGGACCTTGCATGTAATGCACAGTCGTTGTTCAGATCCGCATTACCGGTTTCGGTGACGAGGACCTTACCATAGCCAACGAATGACCTACAAAAGATGCAAAGCTTATTGTTAAGTTGTTCATTTCATTCTCTCTTTGGTACAAACGTAAATGTGCCGTACTCTAGGCAGTCAACTGACGGAAAATGCAACCAACCATGCAAGAAATTGAACGCTAATCCATGCAGAAATCGACAAACATATAACCAGGCCATATCAAACAAGCCCAGCGACCAGATAAGCAATCATAGGCTGCTTTCGTTCTTTGTGACCAGCGCCGAATCAAAATGCTGATTTCAATGCTTTCCCGCTCCTGTATACGCCATAAATGCAATCAATGTATGAGGAAACGATCATAGACTAGCCTCCGTACTACCATCGTCGAGGTCCTCGGGGTTTGCGACATTAGCGTCATCGTCCTCGTCCTCGTCCGAAGTGCTGCTATCGTCGTCATCAGCATCATCTTCGTCATCGTCGTCATCTTCATCCTCATCGTCCTCATCTTCGTCGTCTTTTTCTACTGGCATACCGGGTACGGGTCGCCATTGCACGTAGTCGTGCTCGACCCAGCGCTTACTGCGCGGAAGCACATATGGGTCGAATGGAAAGTACGCATCCATTAGGAAAGCCTCTTCACCCTTTTTGCCAGTGAGAGCAGTCTCTCGGCCGCCAATACCATTGAGATAACCACTGGCCAGACTGCGAGAGAGTCGCACACGCTTGTTTGTCTCTACCAGGGTATCGACGTAAGTGAAGCGGAGGTGCTTAGCAATGCGGCCGAACTGCTTGACAATGTCTGGTGCGCAGATTCTGAGTGGATTGAGTTTGCAGAAGATGTTACGCCGTACAATTTCGAGGGTTGATCGGTGCCACTGGAAGTCGCCTTCGTGGTACATGATGTCTGCATCAGTAGGCAAGGTGCCGTCGGGCGTGACAATGAGGTCGCGCCACCGGAAGCAGAAGGCATACAATAGTGCCTGTGCGATGGCGTAGTACGTGCCATACCGGCGTAGATCTGGGCCGATGCACTTTGGTTCGTGCAGTACACGCAGACGCTCCAATTGTGAGCAAAGTGTGTCAAAAACGTCGCGGACCACAAAGCCCGGAACGTGAGCGCCACGCGCGATGTAGGAGGCGAGGTAGGCACATGCGGATGCTCGTATTAGTGGGGGTCGATTTTGGTCGACAGCTAGTTGCGAGCAGGTATCCACGAACCGCACTACGAAATCCGTTGACATCTGACTGAAATGGAAAAGCACGAACTGAGTATGTCGTGAGCGGTAGGTTGGGATGATGATGGACTGGAATTGGGCGATAAGGGTTTGGTATGTGCGGTCCATCTCTTGAAGGTCTCTCCGTTCAAAGATTGAGTCGTAGTAGGAGAATTGTACGTCCATGACGGTATCGAGCTTGAGCATCATGTCTTTGATATCCTTGAGCCGTTGCTCCTCTGGATCCAGACTCTCCTCGCTTGACACGGAACCGTCGTCGCTCGCGTCGTCATCGTCTTCTTCGTCATTGATGGCGTCGCCCACCAGTTGCTCCTCCAAGTCGTCGTCCATGTCATCCATGTCCACCTGCATCTGCGCATCGATCTTGCACAGCTTATCAGTCACAAGTGCCAAGATCTCGCCCTTGATCTCTGGCGCATACTCTGTGACCCTGAAGATGTTTCGGATGTACTCGACGTGTGTCTTCGCGCTGTCGTTGGAAAATGGGAAGGTGCTGGAGATGACGGGTGCGAGGAAGGAACTCGCCATTGGACTGTAACGTAGTATTCCCATGAGGGTCTCGTGTACGCGCGCTTGTAGGCGTACTCTTTGGATGGGCGGGTCGTCCTGCTGCCTAGCGTTGACGGACGGCGTGTTCAGAAACATGTCGACAAGCATCTGCAGCACAGTAGACATGTAGCTGGATTGAACCGAGAGCAGCCTGCGCAGAAAGATTCGGTAGGAGCGTAGGAAGTCTTCATTGCGCGCAATCCAGCTGCAATCGATGACGGCGTGCACCAGGCCCTTGCAATTACTGTCGAGTTTTGGCGTGTGTTCCGAGAGTGCGATGACGTATTTTTGCAAGAGTCGTGATAGCGGTGCACTTGTTGATGTCGGCGGTTCCTTGAAGAGAGCCTTGAGACCGTCGTAGGCTGCTTTCTCGCCTGTCGCATGCTTCTCTATTGCTCGCCGCACCTCCTCCCCCACTAGCTCCAGACTCTTCTCATGGTGCTCGCTCAGTATGCGTACGTCGACTTCGGGATCGAATGTGACTCGGCGGCGTTTGAGTTGATTCGGGACAGTGTTTTCGGCGTCGGACGAGTGGTCGGTTTGTTTGCGTTTGAGGCTGCCACCCGCGCTCGGGGCGGCGGTGCTGAGAGTCCTGTTCATCGTGGCAATAGCGACCATATTGAGTGGAAATGGGTGGCGAAAGGTTTACATTTGAGCAGGCACGTGAAACCTAGAGAAGCGTCGTCTGTCGGGTGGGTGGTGAAACTGGAAATGAGGACGGCGGGGGTGAACGCACGCGACTGTGCTGCAGTATTGAGCCCCGAGAGAATTTCAGCGGGTCACTTAGGTAAGCCAGACCTGTTCACTATGGTTCGCCGATCCACCACCAAAGTCACTGCAAAAATCCAAGAGGGATGCATTTCATTGGTTTTTAATTGTTTGTCAGATTATAAAGATATGGTTTCTTCGCCGCATCCTACAGCGGCTTGCATCTGGAATGCTCAATCACAGATACGCAAGAATTGATAGCAGACTTGCAGCTTGAGCTGGCCCCACCATGTCTTGCCATTCTATGAGCTGCGGTTAGGCCAAACAAATGCTTTCTAAGCTTCCTTGCCTCTCGGAGGTGGGTATGGTAGGCTCTTGTGCTGGTTGAATACATGAACGGTCATGTCCATGTTCACATCTCACCGCATTGCGCAATAGCGATATCTTGCACTGGCTTTCCTTCTGGGTTCGCTACTGTCCGTGTGTTCTCAATCTTGGTGACAACGTCCATGCCTTCAATGACATTTCCGAAGACAACGTGCTTGCCGTTCAGGTGAGGGGTGCCGTTCTTCGCAGTGATGATGAAGAACTGGGAACCGTTGGTATTGGGACCTGAGTTCTAGGTCTGTTAGTGACGTGCTTGGCTAGGCGGCTTACATGAACCTACAGCCATAGATAGAAGACCTGGTTTGTCGTGCTTCAATGTGAAGTTCTCATCGGCAAACTTTTCAGTTCCCCAAATGGTTCTCGAGCCTGTGCCATTGCCATTTACAAAATCGCCGCCTTGGATCATAAAACCTTTGATCTACAATGGTCAGCATAGTTAAAGTCAAAACTTCTGATACTGCAACTTTTGATGGCACTTACGACGCGATGGAATTTGCAGCCTTTGTAGCCTTGTGGCTGCCCTCGACTGTTCTTGGTCTCTCCAGTGCAGAACTGGCGGAAATTCTCAGCCGTCTTTGGGACTACATCTTTGAACAACTCCATCTTGATTCTACCGAGCTTCTCCCCTGTTTTCGCTTATGTCAGTCACCATGGTCGGGTCGCGGGGCGTTTGTCCGACTGTGGGCTAGGCCAAGAACGACGCGTAGCAATGGCGCGGGGTGAGGGGTAAAGAGACTATCTGGGTCACATGGGTGGATGCATACCTCCTAGGGTGATGTCGAAGAAGACGATTGGGTTGGGCTCGGCAGTCTCCGCCATAGTTGCAGTGCTTGAAGATTAAAACTAGTGACGTTAGACGGGCTTTTGCAGCGACAGTGAAGGAGTCGTGCGGTAACTGAAGAACAGCGATCTGTCTAGATAATTCCCAAGATGTGCCGAGGAGAGAAAATGATGCAGAAAGCAGGGGAGTAAGGCTGCTGCAGTTGGTGGACGATGTTCATGTGGATACTCGCAGATTGTTAGCGGCCGGGGAAGACTCCACTCGGAGAGCAGGGATCCGACATGTCTACGCAACACGGCCGACTTCGATCTGAGATTGTACACTGCAGCTGAGATATGGGACTCAGAGCGAGTTGTAGTAGTAGTAGTGGTAGTAGTCATCGAGCGCAGTCTCATCTGTTAGGCGTCCGGGGGGTCAGCAATCTCTTAGATGTGATAGCACCTGCATGCGACGGCATCAATGCGGGCGACGAAACCCTGCTTGGAGGTGCATTGCGTGGACACTGTCTGTGACACATGCATGGTTCAATAGCAAGCAACACCCAGCGCACCACCATCTTGCAACCAACTTCACAGTTAACCATTCCTCGCCAACAGCCACTCCAAGACGCCCCAGTTGCGTTCGGTAAGACGGGTAGTGTTATCATAGATGGTCCTGGTTGCCGGTCATCCTTGGCACCTGCCGTCGACGTTAGCGACGCCTTTGCGGCCTTTATCCGCCTCAAGACCGGCACCTCGCCCGTTCTGACACTCGGCGACCCATCCACTGCCCTCCACCACCCCAACGAGTCCAGAGTCTGTCGCGCAGCCATTTGCACTCTCCGCATCGCATGGCCGATAACAGTGCTCTTGTCATTAACCGCTAGCGATTGTGGCACGGGCAGTCACCGCGAGCGACCATAGCCTCTAAGAAGCCGACTCTCCATCGCCACAGCCGCAGTCGTTGCCGTCACCATCAACTGATCCCATCAACCACACCGGCCCTTCTTCCAGCCTAGCCCGCCGCCGCCGCCTCGACGATATCGCAACCACCACTGCCGTCGATAGAGCGTGTACCTTCGTAGTGTCGAGTCGCCCCCCTTGTTTCACGTGTACCAGGGCTCTCCGCATCCGGCCAACTCCCCACGTACACGCGCATCACTGCTTCGCGCCTCTCTACAGCTGCGTGAGCAATCCTGTCCGTGAACGGAATAGCAGAGACGCCGCTATCCATCATGTCCAACGTCCTTGTCTACCCGAGGCAGAACGCACCTGCCCCAACAGATGGCTCCAACAGCAACAACAACAACAATAATAACAGCGGCCCCACCAGTTCGCCGCTGCTTTTCTTCGTTGCCCTGGGTTTCGGTGTCGTCTTCACAAACTTATGGTAGGCGCTGGCAGTTGGTTTCGCAACTGCTCCCTCTTACTGACTGCTTCAGGATTATCGTCGGCGTCAAGTATTGCTTCCGGTATAATCGCCGTCGCGCGGCCCAGGCTGCCGCAGATGGCGAACCAATTGACATGACCAACATGCCTCGCCCGCACAGGAGGAGGAGGGAGAAGAAGCTGATGACCATGGACGAGGTCAACGAGCGATTCCCACTGGCAAAGTATAAGCAATGGAAGTCAAGTCGCGAGACCGAGGGTTTGCCAGCCAACGGCGGCATCGCGACTGCGCCCCAGAGCAGAGCAGCAAGCTTGAAGGATGTCGAGGGCGTCATTAGTGCGCAGGACGAAGGCCCAGGACCGAGAACCGACACTGCACTCTCAATGGCCCGCAACGATCTCAACGCTCCGAACTCCTCTACCCAGCCTGCAGCCTCCCCGAGAACGAGCATGGAAAGCAAGAAGAGCCATCACGTGCAGGACGCCGAGAAGCAAGCCGAGGTCAAGCTGGACACAGAGAAGACGGACAAGGCTCAAGGGCAGAGTGCTATCCCACAGGCAAACGTGCGCGAGCGTGAGGACGATTCAGATGACGATGAAGAGGATCCCATACGCACTGCTGCTGCACCAGAAATGTTGGCAGAGCCAGGAGACACATGCGCCATCTGCCTGGACACCTTGGAAGATGACGACGATGTACGCGGATTGACTTGTGGCCATGCCTTCCACGCCAGCTGTGTTGACCCATGGCTGACGAGCCGCCGTGCCTGCTGCCCTCTCTGCAAAGCTGATTACTACGTTCCGAAGCCTCGTCCCGAAGGCGAAGTCGATCCTGTTACTGGTCGCCGTTCAGTCGCCGGTCTTCGGTCGCCACCGCAGGCCGTTTGGACGACTAGCAACCCCTTCTCTAGGTCTCGCGTTATGGTCATCAATGCAGACTACCAGCAGCGACAAGGTGTTGACCGGTTCGGGCGGTTGACTCGGCCTACTCGCCGTGAGCGTGTACATGGGGATGCATCGCAAGTGACTAGGCAGACTGGCGATAACCAAGGCTGGCTATCCAGGATGACGCCCAATCGAACACAGGGCTCTCCCTTCTCAAGCTGGTTTGGTCGTAACCGTGGCGCTGCTAGCACTGCAGACGCTTCTGTCCCACAGCAGCCAACTCCGGGACAACTCGAGGCTGGTAACCGGTAGATGATGTCATTCCGTTGTCCAGATCTCTCAAGTCTTTCTTACGCCCAATCACGATTACCCATACCCACCTTTCCGTGCACCCTATCTCATGCGTCCCAGTGAAAGCCACCATGTTTTTTTCTTTTTCCCTACGTTCTCGGCGTTTCTCCATCCATACCCTCAGCCACTTTTCGTCTCGGAATAATTTCGCTCGCAACAGCACCTATCAAAGCATAGCGAGAGGGCTTTCTCGATACAGCATTCGGCAGGCGATAGCGGAAAGGAGTATACACGGAGTAGTTGCGAATAGCGATATGGTCATGGTTCTATACAGGGGGTGGGACTACCTACATTGTACATGTCATGGTCTACAGCTTTACAGGCGCAATAGCGTCGAGCGAACGTGAAGCTTGTAGCACGTTATTATGTAGTATTTGTTCGGCCATTTTCGATATTGAAGAATACTATGTATGGAACATGAGACGTCTAACGCAGGTGAACTATCCTCCGTTTCGTTCTCGTTGGCTCGCATCACCATCACCCGAGTCCATGTCCCAATCATAATTAGGCGGCAGGTGGGGTATTTCATCGTATTACGTTCGGATCATGTCTTTTGGCTCTTGTATGTGTGGGTTCGGTAGACACTAAATCATCAGACATTCAAATCAGTAGAGCTCACTCTAAGTCGCTCGACGACATTTGACCTAAACCGAGGGCACAGCCTTCCCAATCCATGAACGCCATCACACGACCATAAATCATCCGGGCCCCCTCAACCGAACAGTACCCCCTCTCATCTCCTCATCCGCTCCTTCGTCACCTTCATCCTCGCCCTCAACATCCTGTAACCGCATTGCCCTCAGCAGATCTCTACTAGCCCTCGTCCCATCCCTCAATTCGACCGCACTCTTGAGCAACATGTCCGCCATAACCCTAGCATCCATGTCCACGCCTAACAGCGCCCCTACCTCAGGACCGGTCGGAATGGGAAACTCTACAAGCGGTTTCCCATTTGGACCGACGCTAACGGTTGTGGATTTTCGGCTGTAGCGCGGAGTATCGTGTTGATCGAAATCCGAGGATGAAGAGTACTGGTTACTGTGGTGGTAAGACGAGTCATCGGTATCGGAATCGAGATTGTACGTCGTGGAAGTAAGGGTTGTGGATGTAGAGTCGTTTCTACGTGAGGAACGGAGAGGGGCTGATGGTTGTCCCATTGGACGTCGTTGCGCTGCAAGGTTGAGACGTTCGAAGGTGTCCCAGAGGTCGTCAACGTCTTCTTCTTCGAGTGAGGTGTCGGTTGTTACGCTCATGGGAGGAGATTGATCGTCGCTGCTGAGTCCGTATGCCATGTTGTGTGACCAACCATCCCAGATTTGCTGAGAGCGCTGATTACCGCGGTGGTATTGACCAGAAGTGGGTGCTGGTTTCGCGTGTGATTGTACCTGGCTTGCTGAGCTGACCCCTCGGGCGTGCATACTGGGATGGTGTGGGTCTTGGTTTGTAGGATGGCCTTGTTCATCGTACTGTTGAGGTGTCAATAATCCTGGCACCGTCTGGTTTGGTTCCGATTGCGACTTCATGTGGAAGGAAGCGCGGTGGTTATTTTGTGATAGTTGTACCTGGTCTTCGAGGTTGAACGGATTATCGTTCATACGCTCTGTTCCTGCTGTAAGGATCTCAGAGCCAGAAGTGGACGGACGGTAGTCTTCTACCATCGCCATATCCAGATCAATCATGGACGAGCGCAGCGGAGAGTTGGGCGCAGAGCTGATCATCTCAGGATAGTCATTGTCATCAACAGCAGGCTGAAGTGGTGCTGTTTGAGCATGGCGCAGGTTTGGTCGGAAACCAGATGCAAGGCCTGGCGAAGAAGAGTCCGTCTTGGTGTGCTGGCTGCGATACGGTTCCGTCGGACTACCCATTGGGAAGGCAAAGTCTCGAGTTTTGCGATTATCGTCCTGCTTGGGAAATGTCCACTCCTTCGTCTCACGTCGTCGTGAGATCCGATTCGAAGCGCGGTTCCTTGGGGCCTCATTGTTGGCTTCTGCCATTGCAGCGTCGAATGTCCATTCTACCGTACGTCGGTTGGGCTTTTGAGGCTGCTGTGGGAAGGACCACTCCATCGTCTTGCGGTTAGGTTGCTCAGTGGCTCCTGGAAATGACCATTCCATAGTCTTGCGGTTAGTTTGCTCATTGGTTCCCGGGAATGACCACTCCATCGTCTTTCGATTCTCGTCATTCATGCTGGGGAAGGTCCAGTCTTTCGTGGCTCGTTTAGTCATCTCGTCCTCCTCGTTGAAAGCATCCCGGCGCTCCTCTTCCTCTTCCATCTCCCGTATGATGCTCTTCATACGATTTGCACGGATGGTGGGCACTTCGCCCAGGTCAATACTTGGTATCTCATCTGCTGACGGCATTGAAAAGTCCAAGTCGATGACCGTCTCGCGGTTGGGCGCGCCAGGGTTGAAGTCGCGTAAAACCAAGTCAGATGGAGGGCGCCCGTTCGGCGGGTCCGGCATATCGACGGCACTATACCTGTATGGCGTCGTGTTTGTATCGAATAGTTTGTTCAGACGTTTCTGTCCTCTAACGATAGACTCTTCCTTGAACCTGGCCTGGAGCTGCTCGAATCGTCCCATATCCGCGACAGGTGGTAGGCCCATTCCATTGAAGCCTGCTCCGCCAGCGAAGGGGTCAGTAAATTGTGTTGCACGTTCTTGCTCAAATTCTTCTGATGTGCTGAAAGACCAATCATCGTCGTCGTCGTCCTCCGCCTCTGGGGCAAGCGGGTCTGGCGCTTGAGCACCGTATGGGTTGAATAGCGACTGGCGTGCACCACCTTGTTGCTCCCAGAGGTAGTAGTCTTCGACCAGCTTGACGAGCGATACAGTCGGGTACATCTTAGTAGTATCTGCAAGATAGGGGTGCTCCAAAATTTGGTCAGGCGTCGGTCGATCTTGTGGCTCTGGTTGAAAGACGAAGGCCAGGAAATCTTTCAGTTCTTGAGAAAAGCGATCGCCTTCAAGCACAGGAACACCAGCTGTTGGCAAATCGAATTGCCCAATCTTGTGGTGCGGTGGGTAGCCACAAGCCATCTCATAGACAGTACAGGCATATGCCCAGATATCAACCTCGTTGCCGTAAGATATCTCCTTAGGCTGCATCAAACTGTGCGGATCTGCATCCTTTACCCACTCCTTCTGCAGCTCAGGGGCCATCCAGAAAGGTGTACCAACGATAGTGGAGCGCTTCGATCTTTCAGGTTCCAGGGTGTTGGAAACACCGAAATCGCATAATTGCACACGGCCGTCTTCGAGGATAAGAACGTTGTTGGCTGTATCTCATTAGCCAAGGGAAAAAACTGTAAATACACCATCACCTACACTTCAGATCTCGATGCAGCACACCAGCTTCGTGTATATACTTGAGACCTTGAGCCAGCTCACGAGCGATGGGTATGATGAATTTCTCCGCCAGTCCAGGACCCGGGTCCTTCGTCATGGCTGTGGGCTTCATCAGAGTGTTGACGCTACCACCGCTTGCATATTCGCTGACAATCCAGAGTTCGTTGTGTACAGGTCTAGCCTCCTCGATGATGTTGACGTAAGGCCTTGCCTTGCTGTCTCTTAGCTGCTGCAGGATGTCAATCTCCTTGAGTGTGTCCTGGAGGTTCTTGTGTGTCATTTCCTCATAATCCACCTTGTCGATCTCGATAATCTTGATGGCAACGAGCGCACCGGTATTGCGGCTCTTTCTTTGTCATGTCAGCGAATGTACTCGGCCTTACATCGTGATACCCACCCTTTGTAGACACGACCGTATGCGCCCTTGCCAATGAGCTCGTAGAAGTCATATGGCGGCGGTTCTTCACCACCTCGCTTCGCTCTCTCAGCAACCAGAAGCTCCATATCCTTTGCCTGCTGCATGGCACGCCCCTTGGTGCCACCCATGTTGGGCGGCTGCAGTCGTGCAGGCTCCATGTCTTTTAGATATTTGTGAACCTTCTCAAGCCTTGGTGGTTCAACTCGGGCGTCTTCCGAAGGCTCGAAAGGCGATTCTGCTATGCGCTCCAAGGGGCTGTCTTCTAGGGTACCGGTGATGTTCTCGTAGCTTGTTGAGATTGGGAGAGGCGGTGGGGGACGATTAGGCTGACGTGGCCGCCTGCCAGGAGAGACGTAGTTTGTGGGATCGGAGACAGAGTATGAGTGTCTTGTGGTCGGGTTGGGCAGACTAGGCTTGATGGTGCCTGGGCTGGATCGTGCTATAGGTCGTTGTGGGCCAGGTGTTGATGGAAGGACAGCGTCGAGCCTCGGCTTGGGTGCGGGTGGACACAACGGACTTCGGTGGTCTAAGATTGGACTCGAGATATCACGCTTATCGACAGAAGGCGTGCGTGAAGAGCGTGAAGAGCGTGACGAGGGGCCTCTCTTGCCTTTGATTGACTCAGTTAGCTTCGACCACGAGATGGAACGACTGGACCTTGTCCTGTAGTCTGGCGTCTTGTGTTTGGCCGGTGAGCGAGGCGGGGTCACGTCACCCATAGGGATGAGGTGATCGCTCTCGCTCATCGACCGCTTCAGCTTTATGATGGCGTCGTCGCCGAGCATGGTTTCGTTGTGTTATTGCGGCATGGTGGTGTTTTGAACAGAAATTGCACTCACTGGTTTGTTACGATATTCTACGTTGGTTACCAGAGGTGAATGCGGCTCATAGCGGGCAGGGTCGCGTGCGGTGAGCGTGCGTGGTCGTTGACATTCACAGGTCCGCACTGCGGAGAGAGGAGCACCTGTCAACGAGATGCAATTACAATTAAGGTAGCAAAGTAAACGGAGATGTTAGATCGAAGCGAAGCGAAGAATTGGACAGTATAGAAAGATGGGACGACGATGCCATCTGGCAGACGTTCAAAGTGTTGAAGATGCGAAACATGGATCCAGGGTCTCGACGTTTCGCCCGCTGATCGCGCTAAGACAACCTTAATCCATCCGGGGCAAGTGCGCCCCACGTTTCCGTGCCTGACATCATCTGCGCCACATGTGCGACAGGCATAGCAGCTTGCCAACTTTCTGTGCATCCAGAGAGATTGGGTCGAGATGCTCCCTAGAACCCTCCATTCATATTCACCATTCAATTTAAGACCTGATTAGATAACGTCTGTTTTGATCCACCACAACAACTCCACAAAAGCATTGAATCAACGTCTCACCATGGTCGCGCAACCCATCGGCACCAAGAAGACGCCCGTCACGTCCACGGCGAAGAAGACACCAGTCAAAGCACCAGTGAAGAAGGCGCCTGTCAAGGCGCCTGCTGTTCAGCCCCCGAAGAAGCCTGTCAATACTGCGATGCAGAAGAAACCCGTGGCAACAACCCCTAAGAAGCCCGTCACAAACATCGCACCCAAAAAGCCTGTGACAGCCGTCGGTCAGAAGAAACCTGTTCCAGCACCTGCAAAGAAGGCAATCCAACAGCCACAACAACAGGGCTGGATAAACAAAGGCCTCAGCGCGGCATCGTCTGGTATTGGAAGTGCTGTCGGCGCTGCAACGACTGGTATCGGCAATGCTGCTGGGGCCGTCGTGACCGCGACAGGTAGTGGCATCGCTGGGGCAGGGAGAGGCGCCGGAGCAAGGTACATATTGCAACTTTGCCGAGTCGAATTTTCTGACTAACATACCGTAGTATTGCAAACTCGTCTCGTACCTGGGGCGATATGGTCCGCGAGTACGGCAACTCTCTCAAAGACATCACCGGCGCTCCGGGCAGTCGATCGACAACAAACAAGAATCCCCTCGGCTTGAGCACCAGCGGAGTGGGAGGTATGGCATCTATGGCTAGTCGACCCGGTGTACCTGGTCTCTCAGGGGGTTCCGGCAAAGGTGGCGGTACGGCCAGCAATCCGCTGGGTCTTTGAGCGATAGCGCCAACGAATTGTGAACATGGAATGGAGGCTGTACGAATATTTAGATAACCGAGGCGAAAACATGGGGTGTTCAGGGATTGGATGGCGTTATCTGGGACACATATTATTGGCAATTACGATCTTGAGATACCAGTGCTTACTCTCTTTTCAGTGAGGTCAGTCTGTGAGATAAGCTTCGGGTGGCATAGCACGACACTAAAATCACATGGTAAGTTAAATATCTGATCGAAGAAGTATGCCAAGCCTCATCCTTCTGACACTATGCCCTGCAAGTATACCTTCTGATTAATCTACCACAGAAGATATCACCCTTGTAGCCAGCTTGCAGAAAGATGACTACTCTGAGCTAATAGTACCTAGGTGGATGTTATACAGATTCTGCGATTAAGGATAATGTATTGCATCGTCACAATCTAGCTCGCGAGTACAGCAGTATATAGATCCCTGCATGAAGCCTGGAACAGACTACAAGCACTGATAGTAATACGGTGGTGAGACACCTTTGCACGTATACGGCGACTTTGGCATTGTCAGATAGTTTTGCTGTCATGGCTGCAAATTCACATACCTCACAGATTGTACATCCATTCCAATTCTGTCCACCGCACTGATCCCAGTGCTTCGATCTACATCCTCCTCCGCCACCCGATGTACTTGTTGGTCTTTGCGCTGACGAAGTGCGACTTGGCAACATTGTAGATGTTTTCGTGCTCGAAGGTTGAGGACGCGAGGAGCTTGTTCGCGTTGGCATTGGGGCTGTGCGGCTCGAACTCGTCTTTGGCGGGCTCGGTGGTTTAGGCGGCTGCGACGGTCTTGGTGGCGATGTACCTCCTAACGTCGGTGTATCAACATAGCTGCCGTCACAATAGTACGACATGCCGTTCAATCGGAGATCCTTCATGATGGTACTGAGTCCAGCCACGCCTGTTCCTTTACAAGATGCGCCATTCATAGCTTGTGCATTAAGCGGAAGAGGGTACTCGATATGGAAAACTGGCTTGTTGAGAGCGATGAAATTTCCGTAGGCTTGACACTCGCCGTGTTGCGCACATTGCTCGTTGACTGCAAAGTCTACAATCGGCGACACATCGCTGAGGATATCGAGGCTGTTCTTAAGCCCAATTCTCATGTCGTATTTGGCGGCTTCCTGTTGCATCCATCGCACGTAGTCGATAGCGTCTGTGTTCTTAAGGTTCAATCCGTTGTCATTCTGCTAAAAGAGGTTAGCATGTATAACTCGCTCACGCCTGAGCTTGGAGTAGTGACTGCATGCTACCACCGTATCATACCCATGTAACAATACGAGGACTTACATATCCATCTGTGTTGTCCGGATCGATAGCATCGCAGCCCTTGTCAGCAGCCAGCTTGATACGCTTGGCCATGAGGGCTCTGATGCTTTGGCTACCCGTCCGCAACCATCTCTCATTGGGCCACTCCGGGAGCACCTTTCCAAGATCAGCAGCTGCAAAACTTCCGTAATCATCTCTCCAATTTTCCGCTGTTCCGGCACTGAAGTAGCAGATGACGATTTTGCCGGCTGCTTTGAGAGTTTCTATTGTCGTAACAGGGTTGTCGAACAAATCGATATCCCAAACCGGCGCGTCTATAGGTGATATAGGTATCTTGGACATGTCGGGAATGCCCAGCAGTACGATCTGAAACTTCTGCCCTTGTGTAAACGAAGCATTCTGTGCCCAAATGAGTGAGAAGTAACATCCCAACAACACTAGCCACAAAAGCATCTTGAAAACGTTGGAAGGTCGGAAGATGTTTGATGTGTGTTTGTTGGTCCTTGTGAAGGGAATAGGATCAAAATGTCGGATCCGGGGTTTGAGAAGTTATACTTTTAAGGCGGTCCTGTCCAAGCTCTGAAAACCTACATTTAGCATATGTAGTAGCAATGTGTCACAGCTCGACTGTAGCCGAGACGTGGTCTGCAGCGGCTCCCATGTGTCGTGGCTTCTGGAGCTGGTTGGGCGCCGTCATATATCCTTGGATATTGCACCACTACAAAAAGCCAATCATCCAAGTTTACCTTGTCACGACAGGAATCTGGTAGGACTGGAGTTTCGTAAGCCGCTCCAGTAGCAACGCCGGATCGCAAAGCTGGGTAGTATCAATTCGATACCAAATGCGTGTCCATGTTTGGACTATTTCTTGTGTCAAATATACCGTACCATAAGCCTTGAAACCGAGTGGCGCCTGGTGCGAGATGTTGTGGTATGAGTAGACAACCATAACCGGAGAGTGCCGAATCAGCTGCATGCACAATGTATGGCGATCCGGCAGATTCGTGCATTGCGGGGAAAGCTTGTTTCTCTAGTCTCAAGCTCATCTCCGAGATCGTGTCGGTCAGATGCGCCCTGGTTGATCATATATGAGCAAGTTCTAGGCACACGGGTAAATGAGGCATAATATCGGAGCCTTCATTTGGAAAATTTCTGTCTAGTCCAAGCAAAACAAGAGTGCTTGAGATCCTGTCTTCATTGGAATCATTCTTCGATGTTCGCCTTTGAGTTCATGTACAGTAGGAATAGGTTTTGCGACCAACCCGTGTATGGATGACGCGATATAGTGATGTAACGGTATAATTGGAAATTTGAGACTAGAACCAAGGAAAAGAACAGGCACAGGATGTTTGGTAGCTGGAATGACGAATCAAACAAGGGTGGGGGTTGGTGATGTAGAGAAAATGGTACCATAATCACGAGTTGACGCGTATGGTAGGGTAAAAGCGCCCGAGAGGATGACGCGCGATGTCATGCTAATCGCCCTTATCGATAAAACTAGCGCCATCTGAACCTTCTGACAGAGAAGTTTGGACGTGCATAGAGTGTGCAACATGGTTGGCCACGACTACATGTTTGTCCTACTCCTGTCTTTCTGTACGCATTTGCTTTAGACGCGGCGAGTTTGCCTCCGCCTCTCGTCCTTTACTCTCAGACGGCGCTTGCTCATGCTTGCGCTCTATCGACTGCGATGCCTCCCACACTCCACTCCAAGCTTTCAAACACGCTTTCTGCGAACACTTCCACGAAAAATCCCGAAATACGTTCCGCGATGGGACCCGACCCTACACAGAACCGCGGAATCCACTTCGGTGCTGAATGAGTCGACAAGAACGACCGCCGAGAACCCCTCTTTTAACTTCAACAGAGGTGCAGAGCGCGAGCAGCTTAGAAATAAACCCGTCGCGATTGGCACACCTGGAACCAACCGCACCGGTGGGCGGACAGCTATCAAAAGACTGAATCAAATATTGAAGCTAGTCAGAGACAGCAATGGCCAGGATGCCAGACTACGTGCACCGCTTTGGAGAGCATATTCTCTGGCCAAGGCATCCGATCCGAAACTCCTAGCACGTATCCCGGATGGAGTATGGGACTTGCTCTCGATCACGCAGTCCAATCACACTGCAAATATGGCACAGCTCTACCAGGATATGAACAAGGCTGGGAGATATACGACAGCCAGGAAGCGCGCCAAACATCTAGAGAAGGTCTTCCTTCGCGGAAAAGTAGACCAGGCTCTCAGAGAATGGGAAGAGGATCACAGATTGGGACACGACAGTGTACGAGTGGACTACAACCCGGAGCATCTGGAGATTGGGGCTAAGCTCCATGCACTTGCCAGGAACGTAGACTACAGTCGGAACATTATGGATGAACTGTTCAGGCTGTA